CACTTGTTGCAATGGCAAATCTTGGTCCTTTTTTTTGTAGAAGACATTATGATAGATGATGGAATTTGTACCCGGTTTTTTTACTTTATATACAGGGCAACAAAGACGTGCCCAATATACCAATAGAAAATTTACTGACACATGGTCACACTAAGTCGGATTAGTTGTCAATGCAACTGTTTGAAAGGCTGAGAGTGGTACACAACTCCCATCGCACCTCTTTTTTTTTCATGTATGATGAAACGACAGAAGAAATAATGTCACACGACATTTTTGATGCATCATAACGACGTTTTCGCTTTAAAAATTACTTTCTATGTCCAATCGTATTAGGCATTATTTGTACATTTTATTTAGCTCAAGCAGATATGCTTTATTGTGCAACCTGAAAAATAATCATAGGATACTATTACATATAACATATTCTTTTTATGCTTTAATGCTAATCTTGAAGCAATAAAAACTACTTTTACAGATAAAAAAATGGAGTGTAAATGTATGCTCTATAAAATACACAATATCCATCAGGTATAAAATAATTCAACCAAAGTTTTTTTGTTTGTATTTTTTGTGAGAAACTTTATCTTGGTTTTTTTTTATTATTGCACGTTCTACTTATTGTTCTGTGAGTATATCAAGCTCTGATGAATTGAGCAATGTTCAGATTTTATCTTTAATGATAACTGATATCAAAAATCTTTGGAACATTTCATAAATATTCAACAATGTCGCATCTTTTGGGAAACACATGACATACATTGCTGCATTAATTACGTACTCAAGCAACATAAACCCACCATTTGTTTTTCAGGAGCTGATATAATTGGCTTTGGACGGTGAGTCAAATAAACTTGTCGGTATTGTTCTTTTTAAACAAAAACGATGCTATTCCGGCATATTGGTTATATCACGAATTTGCGTTTTTAACACTGTGTAAGAGGCCCATTTGCAAGTACTAAGACAGCATCAGGACCAAATTTTCTTTTTAAGTTTTGTACCAACTTTTGATTATTCTGTTCATAAAACATCTTTAAAGAAAGTTTCATTTCTCAGAAAGGTAATAGCTGTAGTTTCTCTAATATTGCACTGAGAGTTTTTCTGTTAAGATCACTTTGATTAAGTCGCCTGTTAATCTCTACAGCAAGCGCAAGAATTCTTCTTTTTCCATCATCATCAAGTCTTTGTGATATGCTTTTGTGACAGCATCATTTGTAAATATGCGGAAAAAAATTAAGGATCGACAATTCTATTAATGGAAAAGTTCTGAGGTTGAGAGGAAAAAACCACAAATTCTTGATATAAACAGATTGCCATAGTACAGATTGCATTTATCATCAACTCGGAATGAGAACTCTGACAGTGGAAAATAGATTTCTTTGGGCTTTAATGTCTCGTTTCCATGGTATGCAGTCAACGTGTCATTTACGGTTGATCTGGCTTTTATGTACTGAATGAAATTTGTCAAATTTAAAGAGCTAGATTCTGTTTTGAAGAGCGTTGTTTCAGCTTCTTGGACCACCAAAGGTTTGTTTTGATTTCGTAACTATCTGAAATGACTTGGGCATTTTGAACGATTATTTTTGGTGAGAATTAGAATTTGCTTTTCTTCAACTGTACTAGTTTCTTTCATACAATACAATAAATCACGTCTTCCAGGGTTAATCAAAACACACTTGTTTTCAGTAAGCTTTAAATCTTGACTTAGCCCTTCTATATACTGTTCTTGATCATCAAGTGCTGTTTTAACGCCGGTTGTAAAGAATTTTCTACTCTCTGTGTTTTTTATTATTATTGATACGCCAACACCGTCTGTTTCAAGTGTTTCCTGGAATCGTAATTTATTATCAATCCCTTGATTCTTGAACGCCTTCTTTCCAAAATTTACGACAGAACCCCAAATTTTAAATTTTTTTCCTGCTTGGAGAAGACTTTTGTTCTTGAGAATATGGAATTGAATTATTTTGGCATCCAAAATCATGTAGCTTGGAATGAAGGTGGTGCGCAAAGGAAAGCAGATAAATAGTTTTCCTGTCCTAGCTTCAACTAATTTGGCAAGATTAAAAAACGCATCAAAATGACTTTTCAGGTTTAGCTGCAATATCATAGTAAATGGAGCCTTTTTGGGGTAGCAAGAAAAAATACTGTTTAATTCTTTTCTTGACTGGTTGTCTAGAATACTGACTGCAGGTATCTCTTTCTTTGCTACGGCACGACTGATCTGATTACAACGTCCTTATATTTTATTTTGGATAGCTGATTTTATAGATTTGTCATCTGATCTATTTTCCTTCATTACTTTTCCAAGCTTGTTTGCTTGTTCCTTCTTTTGTAATATAATATTTATAAATTGACGCAGTCTATTTCCAAAATGGACTTTGAGATTGTTATGGTACGCCGTGTGTATTTTGGTACACTTGTATAATACTATTTGCTAAGCATTCGTTAAGCTAGGCGAAATATAATTAGCGTCTTGAAAGTAAGCCTCTTTATACTTTGCTATCAATTGCCTATATTTTTTGGTTACAGGCTTTAATCTTGTGTTTCGAGTCTTTGAGAGAGTAAGACTTAAAAAAGACTTCTACAAAAAAAAAAGCCTTTTTCAATAAATTCTCTTAAAGTAAAAGCTTCGTTTGCTGCCAATAAATTCTTGCAGCAGAACTTGATTCGGCAACAATAAATTCGGATCTGTACTTGAAACCACTATGACTTCTTGATGTAAGTGCTGGAGGGGACTCATCAAAATTGTCACTGCTATAGTTTATCAAATTGTTACTGACAACATTTTCCATGATATCAGGAATACCAACGTTACTTGAAATATCGAGTTCAGGTTCGATTGCCTTGCCTTTCCCTTTAAACTTCTTTTGAGAATCAATTTTCGGGATGTTTCCCCGACCTATAATGGAGGATAATTAAATTTTCTTTCAAAATAAGACTTGGAAATGTTACATACTTCGTCTCTTCCGTCCCAAAATCAGTGGTTGAAAGTCATCGTCTGAGCTATCATTTTGAGGTTCTTTTTATAATAAGATTAAGTTTTTTTTGGTAGCATTTCAATCAAATATTATTCATGTTCGTTACCGTTCATAGTTTAGAATGAATAAAAGAAGAAAAAAAAATACTCTTCAAGTAATCAAATTAGACGAATTATGATAAATTACGTAGATAAATCAAAATTTAATACACTATTGCGGGTATTATGTAGACCAGTTTTTCATTTAATCATTTATTGTTCCGGAAACGGTTTATTTTAACATGTTTAATTATATGAGGTCCATAACAATTTACGCTCCCAAAAAAAAAAAAAAAAAAGTTTTATATTAATTGATTACATGTAGAAAGACCTTGCGGGTTTATGCTATGAGCCCATTTTATGTTCACAGCAGAAAGGCGTTCTACCTTGATTTTTTTTTTTTTTTTTTTTTTTTTTTTGGCTTCGGGGCAGGTACTCGAATCTCAATATTCACAACGCCCATTGCAGATATTGCTCCCAACACCGTGTGAGTTATAGCCCTGGTGGTTAGTGTTTCAACTACTACTGAGCGTCCTTTAGTCTATCTTCCTGTCGGTGGTCTCATAACGACACCATCCACAAAGATACAATTAATTCTAGTAGTCCTTATCAATCTGAGACCATTTTTCAACCCATTATTTTTTTGGCTTAAAAGCGTCGATTAAATGGTAACCATGCGATCAGACTGTACATCACATGTCAAACTCAATCCTTTTTTTGATGGTCATGGCGAGGGCACGGCATAATTTGGATATCATTGAAGATATTCGAACCTTGCTTGGTGAAGGATCAATCCAAACTAGAGCTTGTAAACCTTTGCTCATGTCACCCTACTATTCATCATGTTTTAATCCGATTGAGGAGTGCTGGTTCAAGACTAAAATAAATCCGCTTTCCCTGACACCCAGAGTCAATACCGCTTATGAGACTATTACAACAAAAGATTGTTGTAGTTGGATACCACACTCTGAGATTTACTGGGATACATGTCTTAATAAAGAAGACTAGTTTGTTTGTCCGAATTTTTATCTTTATTTGCCTGATTTATTTTTCAACGGTTGTCTGATTATACTGTATGCAGAAAATAATGTCTATACAAGTACCCCGATATCTATGGTATGCCCAATCAATTTTTAACGCAGACTGTAGCTTCTCGTGTTGTATACTTAGTGTATCTGAAGCAAGTTTTCCCAATGCAAGCCAAGATTTTTCTGACACTATAAGAGTTTGACGAACCTTCCCTTCGTTGCAACGCTAATCCCGTACACATCCAGTGTTAGTTCGACCCTCATATTCTTGATAATTTCTCGTCCAATAGCAAGCAAAAAAAGAAAGAAAATTTATTTGCTGATAAAATGATCACAACGAATAACCAAAAAGGTTTCGTTTCTCTTTTTCTTGTCAAATGTACTACCTGAAGATGCTGTCATTGAACCAGTTTCTAAAGTGATTGCTGGTAGGTTACACTACGCTTTTCGGGTACAGCGATATGTGTATAAAGCTTCTGATTTGCTTAGACCAAACTTTCGTTTATTTGCACCTTGAGATCCATTTTTTTTAAGAGGTACGTGCCCTTATGCAGTTAAAGTTCACTAAAATCAACAACCATGTCATGAACTTGGCTTTTCTCAGTTATGTAATGAATAACAGATGGCTTAATGTAAAAAAAAAAAAAAAAAAAAATGGAAATAGCTTATTTGATTTTTTTTTCTAAACTCAAATTCTATTGGTTTAAAAAAAAAAAAAATTTAAAATCGTTTAAATGTAGATGAAGGGGTGGGTTTCTTTTTTCTTTTTCTTTCTTCTTCATCTTTTTTATTATTATTATAAGGGGGCGGGAATGGAAATTGCTCGAGCGGTGAACAATGGTGTGTTTTGCACACTAGGATTATGGATATTTTCTACAGCGGTAGTGACAATCCAATTTCTTTCGTTATTTATATGGCCATTTTCGAGGCGACTCTACCATGCATTTCATGCACATATGATGCGACAATGGGCTCAAAACCTTTTTCAAATTATGCGAATTTTCGCTCCTGGTGACTTGATTATTACAATGGATGAAAGCTGTACAGAGCAAGATGTGGTGGTAGATGAGGACGACCTGGAAAGGGATAGCGATGCTCTAGAAAACCTGCTCACTAGAAATAAAAAGGGCCAGGTTACCGGGATCTCTTTCCCCGAACGACTTGTCATGATTTCCAATCATCAGGTAAAGAAGTTTAAATACAATGCCTTTTTCTTTTTTTTTTTGGTTGAATCTTATCTTTTTATTATATATAGATCTACGCAGATTGGATTTATATCTGGTTCTTGGCTTATTTATCCAAAGCCCATGGTGCCTTAAAAATCATGTTAAAGCACAGCTTAAGTCAAGTCCCTATTTACGGAACGTAAGGATCTTTTTTTTTTTAAATTACAATTCCAATTTACTAACTTTATGATGTAGGGTAACTTTAATAAAATTTCAGTTATGTAGACAGGAATTAACTCTTCTTTAAACCAAAAGGGTATGAAGTTCTTTGAGTTTATCTTTTTAAAGCGCAGACTCGAACAAGATAAAGATAACATCATTCATAATTTGCAAGTTTCTAAAAAGAGAAATCGACCAATGTGGCTGGTTTTATTCCCAGAAGGAACAGGTAATGTAATCTTTTATTTGTTACCTATAAATATTAAGAAAAGACAATTTTATTAGTTATCTCGGATGATACAAGACTCAAGTCAAAAGAATTTGCAGATAAACTTCACATGGTAAAGGATAAACTATGACTCCGCTTTGGTTGGTTGGATGGGATGGGAAAGGGTAGTACATTAATCATATGTTTATTTAGGATGACTTTAAATTTTCACTTTTACCGAGAACCACTGGATTATTACTCTGTAAAGAGACTTTGGGAGATAGCGTAGAATGGTTATACGATTTAACTGTGGGATATCCCGGTATTCCCATCGGAGAAAACCCCGAAGATGTCATGACAATGCAGAGTATCTTTTGTAAAGGCACCGGTCCTAAAAAGATCCATATCCATATTCGTCGTTACCGTCTGGATCAAATACCCTCCGACACAGAAAATTTTACAAAGTGGCTGCTGGAGCGTTGGACAGAAAAGGATCGACGACTAGTGTATTTTAACCAATATGGCACTTTCCCCGAAGAATTCGCTTTAGGAGAAGATACTGATGAGCGCCTCTTTGAGAACGGTAGAACTTTCAAGATACCCATCGCTTTAAAACATACCTTATGGGAGTGTTGTGGTTTCTACCTTTACTTTTTTCTTTACATACCTTTAATCTACATCATTATTTACACCATGCGCACTGTTTATGCATCACTAATTTAAAAATAAAAGAAGTCACCCCTTACAATTTTGTTTCTATTTTTTTTTTTTTTCATTGTTGTTTACTTCCCCCCCTTTTTATAATGACACATTGGTTAGATCAAAGCATCGACGATCCCAATTTAAAGCAATCTGTTCAAGATTTAATAAAAGCATTTCCAGCTAGTGCGAGGGTTCTTGAACGCATGGTGCGTTATTACGATAATAAACCATCAGACCGAGAAGCCAAACGACGTAAAGTAGCAGAAGCCGATTTATCCAACGATGAAGTCTTTCGTATCCTGGACGTGTCCTTTCAATTACCAGCACGAAAAAAATATAACCTTGTTCTTACTCGTACGCGTTTATTATTACATAATGCCAAAACAGACACCATTGAATTTCAGTACCATCTGGACGATTTCTCTCCTTTGGGTGGTGCCTGTGTTCCTAGTCCGGACAAGGCTGCCCGATGTTATACATTCACTCTCTTTTTAAAAACTGCCGACTGTCTCGTATTTAATTCTCAAGACAAAGTGGACATGGTGCTTCGAAAGCCCGATACAGCCGATGAAGTCCTGGCGTCGTCAGATAAGCACGAAGTGATCAGTCAGTTATTAAACACGCACGCACGTATTCCCATTACACAACCCACACAGGACACATTTGCAAGCACAGGGGTATCTGCCAGTACGGGTAAAGTACTCCAAAAGGCACATGTGGTAGCTTATTTAAAGGCCAAAGATGGTTTCTTATTCTTTTTACCCACTGGCATCCTCTTTGGATTTAAAAAACCTACCTTGTTCTTTCCTATTGCCAACCTGGCTTCCAACGTCATTACGAATATTACACAGCGTACATTTGATTTAACCTTGACTTTGAAAGCTGGCTGTCAAATACTGGGGTCTGCTGGATTCAAGCCCACCAAGGAAGGAGAACATGATACTGTGCAGTTTAGTATGATTGAACAGTCGGAATATGCGGGTATTGAGGCTTACACCAAAAAATTGGGTATCAACGATCAAAGTATGGCTGAAGAAAGAAAAGCAATCATTGTAAATAAAAAGGATGAAGAAAACTCTGTGCAGGAGGGGGGAGAGCAAGGTGAGGAGGAGGATTCAGAAGAAAATGACGAAGACTTTGAACCAAGTGATAATGAAAATGAGCCTTTGGAATATGATACGGATGCAGATGACGACGAAGACGACGACGAAGACGATGAAGATGATGATGACGATAACGAGGACAGAAAAGGAGCGTCTATAGAAGATGCCATGTGTTTGGAAGACGACGAAGAAGATTTGCTGGATGAAGATGATGATTAGACCATTCCCTCACTATTATATACATATATATATATTTAAACTTGGCTCCATTAAAGATTGTTTCGATTTAACTCATTCATATGTCAGAATGGATCAATACGTATGAGCATTAAAAGTTTTCTGTGGTCGAAGTTTTTGTACGTCGTGTCAAATCTGAAAGACAATGAATATGGTGCATGCATGTTTGTTATTCGAGATTATAAGTCATCAATCTCACTTTTAAAACTTTGTATTTTCTTTTTACTACTGATACGATTACAGCTCCTGCTCAAACACGAACAAAATTATGTGTTGTGGATGTTCAAACCAGCTACTAACGGCTCGTCCAAAAGGTGGTACTAGGATAAATGTAGTCGTTTGCTTTAAAAAAAAGGTGATAAAAAGGCTTTCAGTTAATAATCTTATAAAAGAGATGCAATGGAGGGTACAAGTGCTGACGCGTTAAAAATCATGATCGATGCTAAATTTCAGCTATGGAACTGTTGTGGATAATCTTATAAACTCTTGCAGTTGTCTGGGCCTGTACATGGAATATTATTACATGTGAACACATGTATCTTTTGAAGCGTGATTGTTCGTATGTCACTATGCTTGAAGGCAAGTATTGATACTATTGAAATCGTATTTGATAGCTTTGCTTGATCCTACTTTTTCCAACGTCCCACATTTGCTTCCACCATCAACAGATTCAAACGGCAACAATCTAATTTGACTGAGTCTAAGCTTAACAAAGTGGCCAACGTCAAACACTGGTTTGATGCTCGTCTAAATTCTTTCAACATCTAAAACTAATTTTACAACACAAAGATGATAAATGTGTGTTTGTTCCCTCTGCCTAAAAATCAATAGGAAAGCAGTCCCCGACTTTAGAAAACCGCCGAACATGACGTCGCATTTTTCTGAGTGAGTGTGTGTTGTGTGTGTGCGTGCCTTACAACCAAAAGGCAACCATCCCTTTTTTTTTTTATTGCTCTCTTTTTTTTATTACGAAATTTTTACCCAGCAAGACAAAAATCAAGCAAAAAAAAAAAAAACATCATTAACCGTTTCCTTTGCCCCCCGTTTTTTTTCTGTTTTTTATGGCTAAAATCGAGGACAACACAAAGCGTCGTTCGAACGAAATGGATGAACAAAGTGTTACTTCAATTCCTCCCAAGAAACGTTTCCTTTCAAGAGCTTCTTCTCCTGACGAAGAAGACGATCAAGACGACGACCATGAAGACGCTTCCGATTCCTTCAAGGTATGCTTGTAAATAAACACCCCCCTCCCTCCCTAGTTAAACTAATTTACTCTTGTTCGATAGGAACCTTTAGAAGCTTTTCGTAAAGATGCAATAATGAGACAATGGAAAGAATACATGGTAAAAAAACAATTTTTTTTTACTACGCGCCCGTCTGCGCGTGTTTGTTTGTTTTGTTTTGTTAAACTTGTTTTTGTATATATAGAGATCTGTAAAGAGATGGAAAAAATATGTAGAACAAGCTGAGCAAAACAAGTCTAGTAGTGAAGAACACCTAAGACTTTGGGAAGATTCATTTAAACAAGTATGTTCATGTACACTCTTTCTGTCTTAATTTTATTTATTGACCCTTTTAAACAGCTTCAAGTATTTCTTTCAAACATCATTCAAGAGAGCATGTCTAGTCTTGGACAATCTTTCAACAACGCGATAGGTACGAACAAAAAAAACTTTTAAACAACTTGTCATTAATTGAATAGTGGTTTTAACATTATTATTATTTTGCGTTAGATGTAAACACACAAGATTTTGAACAAGTTTTGCAAGAAGAATGGGCCACTGATTTAGCTCCCAACATGTTGACCGCATTCAAAAATAAGGACTATAACGACTCGACCATCGCCAAGTTAAATCAACTCATGGAGTCATGGATTACCAAAAGAGAAGATATAACAACAGGTTTCGAGTCTGTTTTTGGTAAGTTTTAATTATTAGTGTTTCATTATTCCCTTTATTAAATCATACAGTAGAAGATAGTTCATTAAAAGAAATTAAAAAATCGCACAGCAGAATTCTTGCTTCGTGGGTCCATACGCAAAGATCACTTAGTCAAGTCAAGAATCGTTACAAACTATCCAATTTTAAGGTATTTTTTTTTTTACATGTCCATCTAGATTGTATATTCTGACACCACCTTTTTATCATTGTAGTATCTATTCTTGTCTGAGGAATTAAGGATATTAAACAATAGATTGGAATTGACAGAAAGTAATTTACGCCAAGCTCAGTCAGAGTTAGAGAAGCAAGAATTAAAAAATCTTGTCAAGACAGAAGATGCAAAGAAACCTAGTATCACTATTCCTACACCTGTTCCCGCTGTTACTGCTGCTGCTGCTACTTCTACTGCCACCGAAGTTTTCCCTGTTACAAATCCAGCCTCCACTACTAACACCACTATTTCTACAGCCAGTACTGCATTTAATGTGAGTAAAAAAAAAAAAAAAAAAAATACATCTGCCAAAGTATTGGAATCCCACCTCTAATGAATACCACCATTTGATTAGAATCCAGACAATTCCCATGACCCATTGATACGTGCACAACAAATTCTTGAGCAAAAACTACATGACATTGAACTTATCAAGGAAGATCGAATTCTACTAAAGCAACAAATCGCCAGATTAGAAATGGACCTCATTTGTGTACCCGAATCGCGGATATACAAGGCGCCCATATGTCGAAATCTATCACAAAGTCGAGTTTATCACAAAGATAAATGCAACCATCTTTCCAACATTTGTCATGACCTTACCAGCACATTGGAGGATTTGACTTCCAATCGACGTAAATTGATCAAGGAATTGGATACAGGCCAAGTCAATTATTTCAAGGAAATGCGCGATCAACTGGCGAAACTCGACGGTGACCTGACGCGCATTCGTGGTGAGCGTGATAAATTACAGATGCATTTTGAGGAAAAGAAGGCCTCTTCAGAGATAGGTCGAGCTTCCATTGTTGAATTAAAAGTCATTGCGGATACAAGAAAGGAACGTGTCAATTATCTCGAAACGGAAGTTTTACGTTTACAAAAGAAAATGGCGGCTAGAACAGGTGTGAAAGAATACTATGATCTCTTGTTAAACAGTGATGGTCGAGAGCCTTTACTCTTACCTTTACAAAATCAATTGAAGGCCCTGGAAGAGCAACTCGAACAGAAAAAGGCATCGCTACATATCGACAACTTGGACCAGGAATTGGCTCGTATTTCGGAAATGAAGCAACTCGAATTAGAGGCTGACGCTTTTCAAAACAAGTATGGATTTCATCCCTCCGCTCCCATGGATGATTTAAACGTTCAAAAAGTTCTGCAGGACAGAATTGAAAATGAAAAACGCATCATTTCTGAATCCCAAGAAAAAATACAGAGTCTGGAAGCCGTACGTGTTATCTCATCTGTTTTTTTTTAAAGAAAAAAAGAAAGAAAATTTTGTAGTTGAACTCACATATTTATAAATATAGACAGAGAAACAACTCTTGAGTGAAATCGAAAGTGTTTCAAATGCTTACGCTGAACTTGAGGATGGAAATATGGATAAAGTAAAAGAATTATATGCGCTGGAAGAGGAAGTATTAAAGTTACAATCAGAACGTGTCAAATACAATCATACTTTTACTGCTCTCAACAAGACAAAGGATGCTCTTTCCATGGTAGCAAATTCGTTGTCTAAGCAAGGTGATAAACAACTGGCTCATATCAAACAAATGAATGAACGTGAAAAGAATCTTGTCAGTCAATCCGTAAGTTTATTAGTATTCTCTTCTTTTGTTTTATATATGTATATATATATATGTGTGTGTAATGATGGTTGCCTTTTTTAGACTTGCTTGAAGCGTGAATATGATTCGAGTAAAGCCGTGTATGAAATATATAAACAAAAGAGCGAAGAAACAAAATTAACGTTGGATGAACTGAAAGAAAAGGCTCTCTTTGCCAAGGATAAAATAGCAGAGGTAAATAAATGTACTGGGGATTGTATGAGCAAATTAAATAATGATAATTTTTTCAATAGCTTCAAACTTCGATTCTTGATAAAATACGATTGATTGAGGAAGGGGCACATACAAGACTTCGCTTAGAAGAGAGTAGTGAGCTTTTGAAGCGTAAAGTGGATTCAACCAATAAGGTGGAAAAACCCGCCGAGATGAAACTAAGGAAAGAACGAGAAGAATACAGGGTAAAAAAAAAAAAAAAAAAAAAAAAAAAAAGAAAGAAAAGAATAAGAGAGATTGCTAATATGTGTAATTTAGTCGTTACTAAATTGTAGTTCCTGTCGAACAAGATTAAAGTCACACATCATTTTGAAATGTATGCATACATTTTGTAAAGAATGTCTAGATTCAAGAAAAAGGTGCCCAAGTTGTGAAGAACCTTTCAGTGTTCATGATGTAAAACAGTTTTATTTTTAAGAACAAATCTACCACCCACCCTCACTACACCTTCATTCCCACATCCCCCCAACAACAACAATCCCCCCCACACCCATAATGTACATATTATTATACTATTATTAATTCGTTTTTCTTCTTTCCCATAAAAACATTTAAAAATGAAAAATATCCAGTGTTTACTCTAATAACTGATCTACTACATTCGCACCAATGATCTTGGAGTGACCCAGATCTTTGATACAGTTGCTGTTAATATATTAGAAATGGATTTTGGTAGCACCAACATTTGTAACTAACAAAAAGTTCAATAGAAACCAATTAAAAAGCTGATATACTATGACAATGGATAGACTTTTATTTATAACCAAATTACTTTTTTTTTTTTGATAATTTGGCGGTGGGAGTATACATGATAAAAAAAAAAAAAATGGTTGGGATATTATATAGGTAGATAAAAAAAAAAAAAAGAATGGGTGGTATTTATAATATAAGGGTAATAATAGCAAAAGAAAAAAAAATAACTTAAGAGAATGGATTTGCAGCCAAGATACGAATGACAGGTGGTGTTCTGACTAATTCGATGATTAGAACCACACGAATTTTATCCAAGGCTTTAAGCGTTTGAAAACCTTGTTCTGTGCTAAAGGCAGTACTATCCGAAAGTCTGGCACGGACAATGGATGCACGTCGGTTGGAAGATCGACTCGTTTCAGGACGACGGTTCATAAGCACAGGTGTAGAGATAGATTTGTTGGGAAATACATTGAAAGGTGCTTTTTCCTCTTGTTGAACAGCTAATCGACTCACAACCTTCTCTGAAAGAATCGCATTCTTATATTCCTCAACCTCCTCTTCTTCTTCCTTGAAAGAACCCGTGCCGATCATTTCTTCCAATAAGGCTGCATCATCCATGTCATCCATGTCTTCCTCGTCTTCCTCGTCAGATAAATTCCATTCTACCTTTTTACCACTGGATGTATCCACTCCCTTTCTCCAAAACATGGTCAAACTCTGGTGGGTGGCGTCGTAATCCGATCTCCAAACGGGCAAAGAAGCAAGATGGATACGTTTCTCCAGGTTCAATTCAGGAATCATCACATCAAAGAATTGATCGAAAACTGCAACCACAATGGCTTCACGGAAAATAAGAGAAGGTCCCGTTGTGATAGCTTGAGGAACTTGTTGTTGTGATAACTTATTCATATGAACCGACAAAAACATGAGATTGCTTTGATCACGAGCATAGATAGCAGCATCTTTCTTGACATTACAGTGTTGGGCGAGCTTTTGAACTGTATCTCTATCAAGGGAAAATCGTTTTTCTGACAGACAAAAAAAAAGGGAATGAAAAAGTTAAACAACCCAGTCCAATATAGAATTGTGTTATTTTTTTTTTCTTCTTACCTCCAGCTTCAAGTGATGCTTCCAGTTGACGATGAACAATAATATCAGCAAATCTTCTGCTGGGAGCCGTGAAATGGGTGAAAAGAGGAATGTTTAATGAATAATGTTGATATTTGACGATATCCACACTGCCGGAGCAAAAGTATTTGGGTGCTTGCAGGGTTTTCAAGACAATGACAGACACGAGCTTACGGAGTTTGGAGTCTCCAATGGATCTGATTGAAGCCTCAAGTGTACCAGCATTTGTACTATCCAATTGTACACCCAAATGACGAGAGGCATAGGCACACAACTCCTTCTATCATAACACAATTAAGAAAACAGTAAATTAAAAATTAAACCTTAAAAAAAAAAAAAAAACTTACAATTTTACGTTCAGAAGGAGGTGATTGTCGACGTAATAATGCATGATTGGGGAACTGGCTAGAGATCTTTTGTGCGACACTCTTATTGGCTAAAAACAAGAATTCTTTCACCATCATGGCAGCAGCATTTTTATGACTGACGGACACAGTAACAGGTTCCTCATCCTTAAATTCATATTCCAATTCATCGCGGGTCTGAGTAAAAATACCATTGGATTGACGATGATCACGTAAAAGAGAAGCTAACTCGGAAAGAGACACAATATCTTTTGATACCTGTTCGTCAGATGATGCTCTATGGTCCAATATCTTTTGTGCATCATCATATGTAAGTTGTGCAGAAGATCTAATATAGATGATTTAGAAAGTTGCATAATATTTATTTATTTATTTTTTTGTCCTACCTTATGATGGTCTTTCCAAACCAAGTATCGATAATCTCTCCCTTGTTATTCATTTTCCAAATCACAGAGACAGTAAATCTATATATTGTTTGTATGGCAATTAATAATCAAACATCTATGTTTAAATTTTCTTATGTAGGTTACCTGGATTCATTGGGACTTAAATTGGTTACCTGCTCTGTCAACTCTTGAGGGATCATTGGAACAAAGGTATGTATCAAATCCACACGTACAGCTCTGGCACGAGCTTCTTTATCCAATGCAGATTGTGATTTAATGAAATAGGTTACATCACTAATATGGACACCCACTTCCCACGTTTCTGCATCAAGTCGTTTGATGGATAATGCATCATCAAGCACTATCAAAATAAAATTTAGTACTGGCACATTCAGAGAGAAAAAAAAAAGGTAGGATAGTTTACCATTGGAACCCTTGGGGTCAATTGTAAAAGTGAGTGTGTCTGATCTTAAATCACGACGAGAGGCATCTGCCTCCAAATGGAAAGGAATGGAAGGTAAACAACTCAGCACGGCCTCTGAAAAGTCACAATCAGTAACGTTGTTGTCCGCAAAAATGGCCTTTGTCTGGGTCGAAAGTTCGTACACGGAACCCAGTTCACGTTCTAAAGTACCAAAAGGATGAAGGGATGTGATAGGCCATCTTTTCATGGATCCCTATAAGATATGGTGTTATTTTTAGAGAGATTGGGGAAAAGAGATTGTTTATCTTACCACAAACAAACTAGTAGAATAGGCTTCGCTGTGATCAACAAAATCATTGGGTGCCTGTTCAATAGGAATGGCGATCAACGGGACACGTTTATCCGTGGATTTAAACCAAACAATGCGAGGCGCTTCTTTGCGGAAGGCAACATCGTTTCCATGAATTGACTTTCTTGCTTCTTCTGCGGCTTTTTCTTCCTGAGCACGTTTATTATTTGGACGCATTAAAGTCAAAGTTCTAGAAAACAAACATAAACACAATGAATATATGTATATATATTTGGGGCTTTTGTTTGTTTTTTTCTTACCCAGAGAAAACTTGATTTTGAGCTCTTTCCAAGATAGCCACAACAACACCACAATATTTAGGTTTGACAACATCTACATCTTCATCACCACCAAAGATAATTTCGTTTTCATCTTCCTCGTCAGGTAATCGAACTCTGGCCTGACCTCCGTTACGAATTAACTTGGCCTCTTCCTTTTCTTTTTTCTCTCTCAATACTTTATCTACATCTACAAGACGAACAGCCACCACATCACCTTCCAGTGCTCTGTTTCGATCACGTGAACCACAGATGTAAATATCGTCATCCAAATCATCACAATAAACATATGCATCACTTCTGTTACGTTTGTTGACACGCAATGCACCACGGCTCAATTGTCTGGACCTGAAAAGAGGAGGGAGAGCCGAAAAGGGTAAATGAGCAATAAAGAGGGGTCGACGTTGATGGGGGTTAGCATCATCACGAGCGAAATTAACACGCGTAGGGGTAAATGGTACCAGTTGAAAAGAGTTACGGTTACTACTGGGATTTGAACTATTACCTCCATTATTTGATGCTCGCCAATCGAAATCCAGGTTACGAGAAGAACGACGTTGATGACCTGATGATAATCTTTTACTTTCATTTAATGTGTCTTCTTTTGTGGTAGCTGATAAATTCAATGGCTTGTTAAAGACGATACGTCTACCTGAGCCATTTTCAGTGGCGACATTCTCGTTCAAGGTAGGCATTTGAAGTGAGGTGCGCTTCGAAGTTAAGCCTGAAGAGACGCTAGTAGAAATGGGATGATGATCAAACGGTTGAGATTCAGAGTAGCGACGAGAAGAAGGAGGTCGCACATCCGAGTTTCTTCGGCCATCCATTTTTTTCTTGGGCTGAAAGGTGCCCATTAATTTTGCTTCTGCTTCGGCCAGTGCTTCATCACGCGACAAATGATTAAATATGTTACCATTATCAAAGAGATCTGCAGAGGAAGAGGTAGGACGACGTGTGTTATCGAATGATACGTTGGTTTGCATATCGGAGACATTGTTACTGCTGTTGTTGTACGACAGTCTTTTATTATTGGTAACCTGGTTATTTCCATTACCGCTCACTAAGGCTGACATACTATGCTGTTTGCGATGACCTTTTGATTGTTGAGCACCAACAGGGTTGGAGATGATGGGAGGTAAGTTTTTAAGCGTATTGATCATGTCTTGTAAAGAGTCCAGGTTGGAAGATTTGTTCTTTCTATGAGCATCTTCTTCTTCTACTAAAGTTTGTAACCCAAAATTATTTCGACGTCCGTTAGCAGAAAGATTGGATACCAGATCGGAAGAAGACCTAGAGCGTTGATGGCCTCTGCTACCTTGTTGTGATGGTGCAGGTTGAAAGGAAGGAGGTCTTGAAAGTTTATCACCAGGTCCCAGAGAACGACGTTTATCAGGAACAGGCGCACTTTCTCTGTGGGAAGGAAACTGTACATGTAACAGTGTGTGAATTTAACCTTCTTCATATCTCTTTTTTTTTTTTTTTTTTTTTTTTTACCTTTTTATCTGCAGAGGGTGGCTCAAAGAATCCTCGAGTGCTCTCAGGGGCAGTTTGATGTTCCAAAGTTTCAAGCGAAGTATCCATTTGAAATCAAGGTTATTTTTATAAGAATGAAAGAAAAGGAAGGGAATTTGGTTATGATTATTCTTTCTTTTAATCACACACAGACACAAACAATGCAAAATAAAAGAAAGAAAAAAGAAAAAAAAGAAGAAGATTATCCACATATTAGAAAAAATCAAATTAAAAAGAACGAGGTGTTGAGTTACAAAAAAGGGTAAGAGTAAAAAGTTTTTTTAAATCATCTTTTTTAGGTAAATAAGTGAACACAAAGCTTTTTCAACTATTTTAAAAATGTACACTACAACAAAACGGTTTCCTGCATCGTGTCGTTTCTTCACTCAAGGACACTGTAGAGCTGGTCAAGATTGTCAATTTGCTCATATTTTACCCTTCAACGGTTCTCCCAAGAGTAAAGACCCATCTCTCAATGGAGAAGAAGAAGCTCCTTTAGGAGACTTGAACTCAATTCAGAAAGCCATTCGCAACTTGGAATTAGACCAACTAGAAAAGAAATATGCTGCCTGCTTTCAAAAGACCACGTAAGTCTATTGTAAATACAGGAAGAGGCACACCATGTTTATTTCATTCTTATTAGACAAAAGGACTTGAATACCCTAATTGACCTCATTTTACCACTGGAAGACAAGGAAGACATCAAAGTTCAACTCATCATTCCATACAACTACCCAGATACTCAATGTACCCTCCAAATTCAAAATACCAACATGACATCACAGACAAAAAGGTAAACCCACCTTTCTTTTTTTTTTTTTTTTTGTGCCTGAGACTAAAAAAATTCTAAATACACTAGCAATATCCAAGCTGCATTTGAGGATTATGAATGGCACCAGATGCGTCATAAAACTTTGGTTCAACAGCTGGACTGGTTAACCACACATTTTAATGCTCTTTAATACACATATATTTAATTTTCTTCCTTTTTTTATATTTTTTTTATATTTATTGAATGAAGGCATTTGTTTGTGCTTTCGCGCGCGTGAGGAAAGTGTGCGTATGCGTCGAGCGTGTGTGTGTGTGTGTTTGTGCGTGTTTGTGTTTGTGTGTGTGCGTGTGTGTGTGTTTGTGTGTATAGGATTTCTTCTAAATAATACATGTAAATTTTGTTATCTTAAAGTTTGGCAGATTCAATAGCCTTCTTGCCCATCTTCTTTGCTAATGCATTGACACCGAATAAAGCAGATGCGATCCAAACCTTGACAGTGATGCTACCATTCTTATTAGCAAAAGTGTGACGTCCCACATCGACCAAAGACTTATGACTGGTGAATTGGAAAGTACCCAAAGATTTACGCATGGTTTGTGTTCTGGAAGCACCCTTTCTACGTCCAAGACGACCGGAAACTTGATATTTAATACCTTGAATGGCAGAGGTCAATTGTCCATTAGCTACTTGAGGTAATAAATTGTTCCATTCGACAGCAAAGGGCATGTTGTGAGGAAGAGGAGGTTTCACCAAGGGAACACCCTTCATGAATCGACGAGTCAATTGAGACCATCCAATTCTTTCGGCGTTAATGGTAAGATACTGTGCAAGAATCTCTGCATTCATATAAGGGTAGTTGACTTTGGTGAAACGTAAGTCAACGAATTTGCCAGGATAAAGCGAGCTGACGAGTTTCTCAAGAGGTTCTAACTTGAAATCAGCTACTTTACCAAAAGTAGGATCAGCATAATAGTAAAGTTGAACGGTGACTTTGGAAGGCGAATGACGGAAGGCAGGGGTAGATGTCAAGTGAGTTTGAAAAAAGTGCTTCAACGTAGCTTTGGTGGCTCCATCCTTCTCCCATAACATATTGTTACGTGCATTACGTGAAAAACTGTAAATTGAAGTGTTCCAATCTTGTTTACCCTTCAAACTGAGAGCTTTGATACTTTTGGACATTTTTTTTTTTTGTAACTGTAATCAACCCAGGAAGGGATGTAAAAAAATGTTAAACCACCAGGGATTAAATTTCACGGAACAGTCACTTTTTTACATCCTCCGCAAACACTGATCTAGCGACTCTAACTCCATTTTGCTGTCTAAAAGTTTTACTGCAACTCATCATGCACTAACTTATCGAGATAATTTCTAAAAGAGTAGATTGAATTGGATATTTGTGGACGACCTACGTTATACCCAGTTGACATGATTTCTTCCCTGTCAACCACGCAACTATAATATTGGATTTTATGCATGATGTATAACTAGTTAGTCAATAAGAAGGTTTTATTTTGTGCAATGTAAACAGGTTAGTAGTTAAGAAAAAATAATGGTATTTGAATAAAATGAAAGAGCTCATGAATGCCCAAATGCAAAAATAGCAAGTAAATAGCGCTATGAAGAATGTTTTTTTTTCATTGAACAAGCAAGGATAATAACCAATTATTACTCCATTTAAAAATAAAATAGAGTGGCCAGTTATTAAAAGCCCATTCAAAACTAGTAAACGAGTAACTGTTTATCACAAAATCAATGAAATTAAGCGGATGAAACGAATCCTTGGTGGCCCTGGAGGAATAGACAGGGCCAAGATTATTTATTCCAGCACTGTCTTCTTCCTTTGTTAGTTTCATTATGACAGGGTTCACCATGGCGTTAACTTGGTAAGGCCTTCCGACCTATACCTGTATTTTGCGGTTGCCTTTTTGTGTTCTTTCTTCAACATGTCAATGTTCACAACCGCTTCCTCAAGCAGACACTATTTAATAAGAATGTTAATTTGTTTCAATAAATTGAAACTGTGTATTACTTTCATGGTCCAAAGGAATTGGGCCGACTCCGGAAGATGGTCGTGACGGTCCTCAAGCTTTGGCTTGATTTCTAGGCAAGCTTCTCTCCACAGATCAAAAACCCCGTTGGCCAGAAACATACTCTCCAAAGGCGAAGCTTTGGCATGCTTTGGACGATGAAGATTCAAGATTCTGTCTAAATCAATATCGACAATAACGTGAAATCTTCTTTTACAATGGTTGCTCGTAGATACAGTACAATAATGATCATAAAATTCTTGGATCATTATTAGCCTGTTTAATTGCATACAGAGTGAGGGTAAGTCATGAAGAGAAGCAGGACATTGAAATTTTATCAGCGCAAACATAACTTTGGCACCACTAGCATGTTGAGTAAAACCATTTCTATTTTTTTAAGAGATTAGTATTGTCTACGACAAAGGCCAAAAACAACGTACTACCTGCAGCGTGTAGAAAAAAAAGCCTTACCAGAGGCCCCACAGGATAATTATCCGCGATTAACTTGAGCACGGAAAAGACGCCAAATATACCTTTGTGATGATCGAAATTGATTTTGACCTTATCACTGTTATTGAATGAGCCAGAAGTTTCTAAAACTTAAAAACGCTAGACTCTGTAGTCTGATCACGCATATTTACAGTCTAATTACACACATTTACTGTGTAATCCCTGCTATTTTCGAAAAGGAATGATTACTCCGTCCCAGTTGTACTGGTTGCGGTCATCGACATAAAGCCCATTCTCCTTCAACTGGCGGGTCACGCTATCCAGAAATGGCTGTCCTTGTACAAAGCCGCCTTCAAAAGCATGCAGCCTTAGTTATTTTCCAATCACAAAAAGGTACGAATATATAGAGAGCCGGTTGAAGGCGTCCTCATCCTTGTTTCAATTCGTGAATCATAGATGTTGTGACTGTAAGATAAAGTCTTCCCCAGGATTTTCTAGATGTCTTTTTAAGTTGCTTGGTTTTTCTTACATAAAAATTATGTGACTTACAGGATCCTCCGACTCCAGCCTGAATGGTCGCTATTGTATAGCGAAGACTAATACTAGCTGTAATATTGCGTTTCTTGAAAAAACAAAAGTCATTATTAACTAATAACCTACCATGAGTAGTAAGTTCTTCTCAGTCATCCTTTCTGTAACCAGTGATCCACGAGATAATCGCCTTTTTACAGCGATTTTTATCTCGAAAGTGCTGACTGTTGGGTACAGCAAGGGAATCTTAAGAACACCAACCGTTAGGTGCAACAAGAGAATCGTTTAAAGCCAACTGTTGGGTCAGCAATAAACCTAAAGAATACAAAAAAAAAAAAAAAAGAAAAAAGAGAGAAGCAAGTGTGTTAAGGAAAAAGAAAAAAAGTGTGAGAACGAGATTTATCTGTGTACTGATAAGCAAGCTGGCTTATGTCAGGATGATTTAATTGTTTATTTGGTCATCCATACTGTTTGGGCCTTTACTTAAAATGGAAGCATTTGCAAATTGTTCTAGGCAATTCTGAACTTTAAGATTTGTCAAGACTGAGTTGTTGTACTTCTTCGTATCCTCCAGGTCATTGTAATAGGTTTTCGAATAACCTCATTATTTATTTGTATGTATAATAAAGACACAGATTTTTTTTTGCAAGATAATAATGAATTAAAAACCACAAAGATATACCATCATACCACCTTATCTGACGACAAAAAAAGTATTGATTCGTTTATGCCGATCTATTCATTACATGTGAGGTGGTATTATGGGAAGTGACTGTGTCTGTACACCCTACAAATCAACAGGCGTGTTTACACTTAAAAAAGTTGACTTGTTTGGTTCGCTAAACAAGGTGCTTATCGAGGACGTTATGAAGAAGAATTGTAAACTTGGATGACATCAAAGACACAGCTACGCACAGTATTTTTTCTCTATGATATCTAATCCCTTGCCTTAGGACTTTGTACAGCATGGGAGCAGTGTTAGCTAGTGTACGGTCTCCGTAGGCTTGGCAGATATTCTACGCTGCGACGCAACTAAATGAAAAAAAGAGTTGACTTGTTTGGTTCGCTAAACAAGGTGCTTATCGAGAACGTTAGCCTTGATGGCATTTGTGTTGAAGTTTGCTAAATGTTGGACCTTTTTTTACAAGTGTTTAATTGTCTAATTAACTAAACTAGATGCTTGTCGACAACATTAGCCTTGTTGTCGTTTTTACTGGTATTCGTTTATCTTGAAGGTTATGCGAAAAATTCGGTGGCATAAATATGCTTCTTGTTCCTGTGTTAATTTCATGCCTCCCCTCCTCCATCTAACAAGGTTGACTCGTACTCAAGAGATATTTTTTGGGACATTTGAAAGGAGTCAATCAGACGGACGCCACTTTAGCTATTCCGCGTCGATTGGAAACATCTGCAAACGTCAAGATTTTAATATCCCTATGTCTAAAATAAATTGGAAGCTTTGAACTTAAGATCATCTTAAACGAAGAAGATTAAATCAGCCGGTTTTTTTAAGGTTGTTGCGTAGGGACAAATAATAAAGAATAATAAAAGTAGTCGTTTTAAGCAATATCGTGCTACTTATTTGTTTCTTTAACATCGAAATGTATCAAAAAAATAACAACAAAGAGGACCAAACAACATATTAAACTATACAATGGAATTTGACTAACAGAAAAAACACGATGTATCTATGATTTGATAAAAGCTAATAAAGAAGACAATATGACTTTATCTACTAGCCTTTTACGAAGAATTGACCATTAACCATTGTTTCAATTAAATGTGTGCTTTAATAATTATAAAAGATCATGTCCAAATCTTTTTTTTTTAATTGGACTTCTAGCCATATTCCGTAGAGATATCAATTTAGTTATTACCTTGAACACAAATGTTTCTTTTAAACCGCATCCGCAGAATCTTGACTTATTTCGGTAAAAACAATTGTACAAACGTTCTGGATACCTTTGCGTGTAGTTAATATCTAAAGCAGGCTTCTTTTGCAAGCGTGTTACGATTTTATCTTTAGGCCTGGATAATTCAGGAAAAAATACACTCTCACACATAGTTAAGAACAATCAGAACGAGTTTATAGCACGTACACATTGTCCTGGTAAGTATTTTTGGCTACATTTTTATCAAACAACAGAATATACTCACTCTTGATTTCCATACATACAGCAATAAACGAGCTATGTATAGGTAATGTAGTGCTTACAACTTTAGATTTAGGATGTCATATGCAGGCCAGAAGATTATGGAAGCATTATTTTGCTGAAGTTTCTGGTATTGTTTTTATGGTGAATGCATCTGCTCCTGACCGATTTTTAGAAGCCAAAGCGGAATTAGATGGACTTTTGTCCATTGAATATATGAAGAATATTCCATTTTTAATTTTGGGGAATGAATTAGATGGACAAGGTGCAATGAGTGAGCAGGAGATCCGCCAAGGATTAGGTCTTGAAGACATAACAGGAGATGTATAACTATAAGTAAAATTTTCTTGTATTTAAGAGATGTACTGATAGCTTTTCATGCAGGGAAAAGGTTCAGTCCCGAAAAGACCAGTCAAATTAATTATGTGCTCAGCTAGTATGCCAAAAAATTATGCCAACGGACTCCTTTGGCTATCCCAACTAGTGTAAAGGCTTATGTACGCAGTAATAAAAAACAGTGCCCATACTCATTATAGTTGGTTGAGTAGCTGCCGTAAATTTCAGCTATATTCTTGGTGTATTTATTAATCCAGTCAATGATCACGTATACCGAATAAATCATACTTTACTAAGCTTCTCATTACATAGACAATAAGCTACATTTTTATATGTAAATAATTTCCGTTAGCTCCCAGTTTCTTGGAAGACAATAATATTGTTCTAGGTTTAAATCTTAGTGCCATTACACAAAATAACTTTAATTGTGATCTGGTTCATATTTAAACTCATGGGTTGCAAAGTGGATACACTTGACATTGAATCAGTGTACCTCTAAAGATCTCCGGAATACCTTTATTTGTAATACATTATTGGAACGTGAGAGTAATGATGTTTATTAGTTAGTATGCAAACAGATATAAAAAGAGGCTCACGATGATGAGATATTAGTGTCAGAAATTCGGTTGTAAATGAGGTTGAAATGAGGTCAAAAACGCCAAAAGTTGACATTTGACAAGCGGCGGTAAATATGCGGTGGAATGATAATCATGATAAATATTTAGAAATATTATGGTTTATGTGATTTTGTCATAGTGAGCTAACGTATTCTGGGTTCGTTTGTTTCATATTGATGCACGTCAGCATAATAGTACATTTGATGCGAGACAAATTAAGTGATGCTCGCATCTTTTTATTAAAATCCCATCAAGCCCCAAATTTAAAATTAAGAAAGGCGTGTGTTTGAGCAATTAAAGGCTTTTTTCAAAACTAATTCATTGCTGAACCGCTCGTACAAATCAGTTTTTTTACTGATAAGATAATGATGAAGGAGAGCAGCATGTTTTAATTAGCACCCTCAAATAACTTGCACATGGGTAAGGGCTTGCATAGGCATCCCATGAAAAAATAAAATTCCTTTCACAACCTAGATGTCACAGTCTCATATTCTATTCAGAACGAGACCCTTCAGATGCATGCTTTATAAAAATCTGCAATCGCGTATGATCGATATTTTAATAATATGGCATACAAAGGCGACCTGTTTTCAATACATCAGATAGTATACAAAATTTGTTAATAGTCGGCGCTATTAAGTAAGGATACTTCACATGTGTTCTTTAAGTAATTAAGAAGTTCAAAGTTGTAATTATGTCTACCGATATATTTACTCGTTTGATTTTGTTTTAAAATAAAGATACTGATGATCCTCATATATACATATATCGTGCCGTATTAGTTTTAAAAAAGCCGCCAGATTACATCTACCTATGAGTCAGGAGACGTACAATATATCCATAATTTGTTTTCTAACATAGTTTTGTTATATGGCACTGGCTTGTATGCCTTGGTGTTAAATATGGTGGGATATTTACTAAGTGGTTGTACATTTGGTAGTCGCCTGAGAGGACCGGGAATTAAAAAAGTCTGTGAGAAACTGTCTGGTCTAATCACTGGGACAAAGGGCATTGTCGCGCAAATTTGTTGTATGTAAAAGTTCCATCTATTAGTTGAATGGATAACGTCATTTATCGAACAAGTGCAAATAAAATCCTCGGTTTCTGGAACAACAAAATGCGTATTAAGTCAATTCTATTGTTTTGAACACACTTCAAGGTATTATAACAACCATTGCTTCGTGAAATAATAATAGTATTGATTACAGCAACTTTCTGTAACATTTTGTTGTCTTTCATCTACTTGAATAAGGCGCTAAAACCACGAAATGTTCATTGATCGATTTATGCGAATTTATATACCTTGTTACAGTGTCCAACGAAAGTTTTTTATTGGCCGATGAGAAACGTCATCTTAAATGGAGATTGTTTGTTCATGTTTTTGATACATATTTTTTTTTTTTTTACCTTATTTCCAAATAAAATGACCTTACCAAAAGATCAAATACCCATAGCTTCTACAGCTCAAGCTGTGCATCATCATGGACAACATTTACCTAGTAGGGGTGAAGAAAATTCAACAAATCATCATCACCACAGTCGTTTATTGTATTTTTTAACGGACCCTTCGATGCTGTCATTATCAAGGCTTCCTTTTCAATACATGAATCACCCATCGCAGCCTTTCTTATTCCCTACAACGACCTTACTTAATACCAATACAACACCGAAGCCGAAGACTAAATCCAAAACAAATGCCTTGACTACAATTTTACCTGTTCCAACCCCCCAACAGTCAATTGCTGTTGCTGCAGTGGATGATTGCTGTAACCAATGCTGTCCTGTCATATCTGCCGAGAGCAAATTACCAGCTATATCAAATACACCCACTGAACGCAAACGAAGTCTGACGGATGAAGAAAAGGACCTTCCCTCACCAAAGAGAGTGATTACTGAGGAAAGCGAAGGAAAAACCAGATGTAAATGGTCTAGTTGTGTTGCTAGTTTCAATACGATCGAAGATTTGACACCACACCTCTACAAAAACCATTTGAACAATAGCAGAAAGCCACAGAGCAATGCGTGCTTTTGGGAATCATGCTCTGAAGGAGCATTGCTAGATGGATCGTCCCAAGACCTGCTTAATCATTTAACGAGTCAACATTTGAAAAATGCTTTACTGCATGCCTGTCGATGGATAAATTGCAGCGAAAGATTTGAAGCGTTTGATACATTGACTATTCATTTATCAGAACAGCATGTAGGATCTGGTAAGAGTGAATATAGTTGTCACTGGATTGCTTGTGAGAGAGACGGAAAGACCTTTACTCAGAGACAAAAGATCATGCGACATATTCAAACTCATACGGGAGCTAAACCATTCCAGTGTCAAACATGCCAAAAACGATTCTCTGAATCCAATATTATGACCCAGCACATGAGGACGCATACAGGGGAAAAGCCCTTCAAATGTGATCAATGTGATCGTCAATTCTCGGTATCCGCATCACTCACAATCCATAAAAGAGTTCATTCGGGCGAGAAACCATTTAGTTGTAAATATCAAGGCTGTAATAAGCGCTTCTCGGAAAGTAGTAACTTAACAAAACATGTAAGTTCATTTTTATAGTTTGTTTTTATTTTTTTATTTTTTATTAACATAATGATAGATGCGAGTTCATACAGGAGAAAGACCATTTAAATGTACAGTGAAACCATGTGGTAAAGCCTTTTCAAGACCTGATCAAGTGACACGCCATTTAAAAACACACAAGGATATTTGTTAATAAAGAAAGATATAATATTTAATTACTGGATGATGAACGAGCTATTAATTTGGACAAAATTAAGTAAACAAAAACTACAAGTACAAACAACCAGCGTTTCCCCTGGCTGACTGTACGAGTGATTGGGTGTTGCTGCTGTTGTTGCTGTTGTTGTTGCTGTTGGTTATTTTCTGGTTGTTTTTGTATCATTTTTTTGGGAGCAACATCTGACGATAGCTGACTCAATTTTACTGTACATAGTTCAGGGAATACCTCTAATAAAATAAATGAGTACAAAAAACGCCAACAACAATAGCTAGTATTACCTCGAAACTTTTGGTTTCTTATGTTCCACATGTGGGATCGGGCGGCATACATTTTCTTTTCATTGACACCAGTTTTTATACTACCAGTTGTGGCTTCATCACCTACCTATCAAAAAATAAGAGGAGGAGGGGTTAGATGATAAATTGGACGGCAGCGAAATATATGTGTACCATAAAACTTAGTAAACCGTTTAATATAGTCGAAACAGACCAACTTGGGTTCCAAGAACTAGGGTGGAAATCACTCATTGTTAAACAAAGTCTAGTGTCTGGCTGGAACCTTCCGGAAGGTGTGGTCATTCGAATAGTGGGTGGTTTAAAAGGATATTCAGCAGGAAAAGTAATTCTACCATAATATTCTCCTCCTTCATACGGTGAATCAGGTGGTCCTTGAATAACGTAATGCCTACGACAACGTAAGTAAGTGGTGATTAAAACTAGAAAGAAACTCCCTTACCAGTCTAAAATGTTACTTTCTAATGGTTTCGCAGTAATGTAAGGAGGTGGACTATGATATAAAAGCAAAAAGAGAGGGTCAGGTAGGTTACAAATTAGAAGATTGCAAATTAAATTGAATCTGAAAGAATATTTACTTCTTTTGAAGGGCCATGTATTCCTTTGTTAATCGTTTATACGCTCCTTTGGTAGCCATTGTGTAGTAATTGTTAATGGCGTATTATATATATCTGGGAAGAAAAAGAAGTTTAAAGAAAGAGGAAAGGGAGCTAAAATTGGACGAAAAAATAATATTGGAAGTGTGGGTCACATGGTTCTAATTCGATTGGTCAAAAGATAAAGAACCCAATGAAATGATGATACAATGAACTTTTTTTTTTTTTATTAAACTAATTCTTGACAGCAGGAATGTGCTTCTTGATCCAATCGAGGTAATAATCAGAAACTTCTTGTCTTTGTGGCATGGTTTCATTATGCACTAAGGGAAAAGATTAGTAACGAAAAAAGCTTATATATTTTAAACATTTACATTCATGAAATAATCCTGGCCACGTTTTCATTTCTTTATCTGTACTAGAAGTCAAATTATAAGCGCTCAATGTGCTTTGGTATAAATTGATTGGATCAGTATCTGCATGGGAGTACAAAATGGGCGTTTTGATCAGTTTCGCTTTGGTTTTGATGATATCAGATCCTGCATCAATAAATCCTGCCACTAAAAACATGTTAACATCCCCTTTTAGATATATGCAAATCATATCTTACATGTAGCTAATGTAGCGAAATCATGGACTAATGGATCCTCAAGATACTTTTTGATCTCATCTTGATCATGTGACATACCGGCAGGATCAATTCCTGCTTGGATGGTGATACTGGGTAAAACAAAGGATACGGCCCGAAGAGCATAATATTTGGGCATAGGAATAGCCATAGATAAAGTCACAAGAGGTGCGGATGCAATAGCACCAGTGACTAAAGCAACGCCTTTATATTTATCACCTCTTGCAAGATAGTTGAGAGTTAAACCACCGCCCTTTTAGTTTCATGTATGAGTAAAAGTAAAGATTATGTAATAATAGTTCTCTTACCATACTATGACCTACTAGGAAGAGAGGTACATCCTGACGCTTCTTATTCAAAATAGCGTCATCAATATCTTTTAAAGCTGTATCATATCTGTAATAGTAGATATATTTGTTATTTGACCAATTCATATAAGCGAATCCTTCGAATACAATCTATTACCCCTGGTTGTTACCGAATTGAGTAGATTTCTTTCCTGTCTCCCCCCATCCACGTTGATCATAACCATAACATTCAATGCCCTGACTAGCAAAGAGAGAAAAGAGGCGGTCATATCTACCAATATGTTCTCCGAAACCATGAACCATTCTAATCATATGCATCAGTATTATGTTATGGGAACATTTTTTCTCTCGTGTCTTACACAACGGTAGCAACGGGTGTGGACTGGGTTTTCCAGGTCTTTGTGAAAATATCATTTCCATCAGTGGTTTTGATCCATTCATCCGATACAGTAATAACGCCAGTCATATTTAAATAAGTTTATTGCGAGAAGAGAAAAGAAAAAAAAGAATAAATTATTACGCAATTTAAATGCAACAGAATTGAGTTTCAAAATTTAATTTAACTGTCACATGCATGAGATGTGTTTTATGTCTCCTTCAGTGAATAACCCGACTATCTGTTTTGCGTTGACATAGATAGAAGTGCAGCAGGTAGTTGGGCTTATAGTTACCTCACCAGACCAAGGCAACTCATCAGTGGGTGTGAGAATTCCAAGATTGTTATTGTTACACCACAGTTACTAGATGACACAATCACAAATTGTACAATGCTTCCACTGCCATTTGGAAATCATTAAGAACCAATTGATCATTTATTGGTCATTTTTTTTAGAATCATTTGGGGCATTTTTAAAAGTTTGTCCTCGCTGCATGATTATTGGATCATATATATAGGAACGTGAATTAGAGCAGTAATAAAATATCCCTTCATTTCTAAATACTCATCCATAATGTACATGTAATCACTATTGATCGAGATATTGCTCACATGACTAAACTTAGGTACAGACAATAAATCCTTGGGCACTTTTCTTTTTCCTAACTTCGATGAAGACTGATTTGCAGAAAACTTCATGCAAAAGAAGCTTCTAAATGATAACAGGACGGAAGCCAATGGGGGCGTTATGCAAGGGTGGACCAAGGTTTCCCATCACACGTTTATTCAGAAACCTCTTGTATATCTCTACCTTAGTAAGAAATGACAGGGCGGAAGACAACCGGAACATTATGCAAGGGCGGATCAAGGTCACCTACCAAGACATCTAAGGTAAGCAATTTTGCAATAGTAATTCATAAGCAAAGTGCAATAGAAGTTCAAGCAGAGATACTAACCTGAATAAATAATATGAAAGTCAATGATTAACAGCATCTTCTCTCACTAAAGTAAAGAAGAACAAAGCCCCATCCCTAAAAAAAACGACCAATTGTAGTTCGAACAAATGATCAATTGCTTTTCAAGTTCCGGCCTATGATTTCAATTATTCGTTGTTGTCAGTGTAATAAGGAAAAAGTATCAAAATAATAACAATAACAATAATAACAATAACAAGAAAACGTAGTCATGTTACCTGTCCCCTTGATAATCTGTTAATCTCTATTTACTCCTCTCTTTTTTTCCTTTTTTTTTATTCTTTCTGTCTTTTTCTTTTTCTCTTTTACAGTTACATTTTCACATCATGCCAGAGGTTCGTGTTCAACCTCGAAGTGTGTATGAGCATCATATATTTGTTCAAAAGGCCAATGCTACGATTAACTGGGAATTTTCTACCAAGAAAAAGAGTATATGTTTTGGATTGTATTATAGGCCTGGAACCAGTACACGTGTATCGATAGACGAGCAACCCAAAACGAAGAAACGAAACCTTTCCTTGCCAAAATTACGAAATAAAACGACTACAGTAGATGATCAACTTTATTATTCGGATACAGATGATGGGAACAGCAAAAGAAATAGTACAACACATAGCTTCAAAGAATCTTCAGCCTCATCTATTCACTCCCGAAACAGAAGAAAGTCCTCTTCTGCTGTATCTGTCATAAATTTATTGGATAATGATTTTGTTGAACTTATTCCGATCGATCAAGTGAATTCATCCAAAGAAGCGATTTCGGGATCTTATTTGGCGGAGGAGCCTGGAAATTATGTCCTAATATTTGGTACGCAGAATTAATATTTAAAGAGCTGGATTTAGGGTCTGATATATTTCTATTTAGACAACATGTTTTCTAGGAATACATCAAAATCACTGACTTTTACTGTAACTACGGATGAGCCTGTGGATGAAGGAATGGAACCAAACGATTGTGATATGAGTGGTTGGTTATTAAAAAAAAGGAGAAAACGAATGCAAGGTAAACAGACTATTTGACTTCTAAGGAGAGACTATTTAATAATTATCCAAAAAGGATGGGCAAAAAGATGGTTTGAATTATCATCGACTGGAGTCCTATCTTATTCAGTGAGAAAAGGTGACATTAAAAGAGGTTCAATACAAATTTTATTGGCCACAATATCCTTATCACCAAAACAGCGCACAATCCATTTGGATTCTGGTACTACCATTTTTCATTTAAAAGCGTTGTCCAATGATTTATTTGATGCCTGGCTGAATTGTATTAGAACAAAGAGGAGTATTACAAATAATGTCATATGGAACGAGGATGGAGGCATCCAGTCAGCAATAAGTCTATTACCTGACTCGGATAGCAATGATTACGAGATAAATCACCAATTAATTTTAAAAGCACTGAATGATATGGACAACGAATTAAAATATCTAAAAAGCATAGTATCCAAAGAATTATCCGTCAGCCATGATACTTTGGTAGCTTCCCCAACATCAGCAGACATTTCTTCGATACTTCCACCACCGCCACCTTTACCTCATTCACATAGTAGTAATAGTAGTAGTAGTCTCAAACTTAGATTTCCCTTCAAACGCGGAACGTCATCCACAAATTCGGATGAGCATCATCACAAGTCGTCTATGATTACGGTTGAACGACTTTCACAATCGATCAAATTATTATCGGATTATCGAGAAAAAATGTCTACATCATATTTACAAAATTACAATCAAAGAGGCATAAATCCACTGGAAATACCAGGCAGAACGGGAACAGGGTTCTCTACCCATCGGTCAGCTAGTTTTTATTCGTATAGTGCACAGTCAGATTTATTCTTTGACGCCGAAGATGATTTTGAATTAAGTAATGAGGAAGTTGAGTCTACGCATGGATCGATCGTTGTAGATTCCGAAGATGAAGACAAAGGTAATTTTTTTTTACAGGAAACAGGGAGCATCTTAAAATGCCCGTTATATTAAAAATTACAGTAGAAGTTTCATCTGATGATTTAATTATATCTAAAGACAATATTTCAAGAAGAACCAGATTATCTCATCCCGTAGCTGTAAGAACGATTTCCGTCTTGGGTATTTTACGCAAGAATATCGGTAAAGATTTATCAACCATCTCTATGCCAATCAGTTTGAATGAACCCATCAATTTATTGCAGCGTTTATGTGAGGAACTAGAGTACTGTGACCTGTTAGATAAAGCAACAGCACAAACATCATCTATGGATAGACTCATGTATGTTACCGCATTTGCTATATCTGGTTATGCTTCATCACAGTACAGAATTGGAAGAAAGCCATTTAATCCACTCATGTGTGAAACATACGAGTGTATTCGACCCGATAAAGGTTTTAGATTCATTTCTGAAAAAGTGTCACATTATCCCAATGTCATGGCGGTAAGAATCCATGCCCTATTTTTTTTAGAATATGCCGTATACTAACTTGAAATCGCAGTGTCATGCAGAATCTAGAAATTTTCAATATCGACAATCGTATTTTGGAAAGACGAAATTTTGGGGTAAATCAATGGAATTAATCACAGAGGGACAGAGTCATATTTCATTGACGGGGCATGAAGATCAATATACGTATTCAAAACCATCAAGTTGGTTGAGAAACCTGGTGACAGGAACAAAGTATTTAGAACATATTGGCGAAATGAAGGTAGATAACCACGCGACAGGTGAGTATGCGATTGTCACATTCAAGGAAGCAGCGGCAAGTGGAGGATCTTTCTTTTCAAGTGGCAGTAATGTCATGCATCGAAATAATGTAGTAGCGAAATTCTATGATTGCCGAGGCTCACTGATAAGAGAAGTTCAAGGAAAATGGAGCGATACATTATCCGAGGTAGTTGGCCCTGATCAATATTCCGTAATTTGGAGATCAAAACCACCTTCAATTCCAGACTACCAAGACTATTACGGACTAACACAATTTGCAATGGAGATCAACGAAATTACATCACTAGAAAAGGATAAATTACCAATCACAGACACTAGATACAGGCCAGACCAACGCTTGTTTGAAAATGGAAAGGTTTCCGAAGCGGAAGATGAAAAAATAAGAGTTGAGCAACTACAGAGAGAGAAAAGAAAGCAATACGAAGCACAAAATAAAGCTTGGGTTCCTTTTTGGTTTGAATTAAAACCTGATGCGTATTCTCCAACTGGTGACTCATGGCAATACAAGGGTGGTTATTGGGAAGCACGAAAATCAGGTCAATGGCCAAGGGAAATATTACAACTCTGGTAGCTGAGGTTAAATAAGCGGGAAAATCTTCTTACAATAAAACACATCTACTTTTTTTTTTATTTACTCTTTACCCTTATCTTCCCCCACACTTTTGATTTGTTACAAATGTCCAAGCAATTTATCGGTGCTGTTGATCAAGGAACAACTTCATCTAGATTCTTAATTTTTGATAATGAAGGTACATTAATTACATTCTATCAAGTAGAGCTACCACAATCCAATCCTCAACAAGGGTAAATATTCCTGCTTATATGTATATTTACAAACATTTACTGATAAGTATATACTGAAGATGGTTAGAGCACGATCCCATGGACATCTTAAATACCGTATTAGAGTGCATAGATAAGACAATACATAGATTTGAGCTGATGGGGTACAATGTCAAGGATATTAAAGGAATCGGTGTTACAAACCAAAGAGAGTCGGCTGTAGCATGGAATAAAAAAACTGGCGAACCGCTGCGTAATACCATTGTTTGGAGCGATGTTAGAACCGACGAACTTGTTCACACTTTCAAGAAAAAGAAAAACTCTCATATTGTAAAGGATCTTTCAGGACTTGACTTGACCTCTTATTTTACTGCACTCAAGTACCGCTGGATGTTAGACAACGATGAGGAAGTTAAGAAGGCGGTCAAGGAAGGCACTGCATGTTTCGGAACTGTTGATAGTTGGTTAATCTTCAAACTGTCTGGTGGACAAGCCCATGTAACTGATGTTACCAATGCCAGTCGTACTTTACTCATGAATTTGAGAACTCTGGAATGGGATTCCCAACTTTTGGAATTTTTTGACATTCCTAAATCAGTTTTACCTGAATTATGTTCATCGTCACAGGTATATGGTAAAGTTAAACTGGATATTGCATTAGACGGTGTTCCTATTGCTGGGTGCTTAGGTGATCAACAAGCTGCCTTGTTAGGGCAAAAATGTTTTGATAAAGGTGAAGCCAAGTGTACATTTGGTACCGGCGCGTTTATGTTGTTTAATACAGGAACAAAGCCTGTGACTTCATCACACGGATTGATTACCACAATAGCCTTTAAACTAGGAGAAAATGAACCAGCCACTTATGCTCTGGAGGGATCAATGGCTGTAGCAGGATCTTCATTGAGATGGTTGCGTGATAACTTGAGATTGATTAACTCCATGGAAGAAGTCAGTGATTTAGGTAAAATTACGTAAGCCTAAATGCATATCAGACATTCTAATGTATATTGTTATTAGCGGAACATGTTGCAGATACTGGTGGGGTTTATTTTGTTACAGCATTTTCTGGCTTATTTGCACCTTATTGGCGTGATGATGCACGAGGTACGATGATTGGGCTGACCAGCTACACAAACAAGTATCATCTGGCCCGTGCTACGCTCGAATCTATGTCGTTTCAAGCAAGAGCCATATTAGAAGCTATGAATCAAGATGCTAGTACACCGCTTAAAGTGCTGAAAGTAGACGGTGGTGTTTCAAATTCAAACATTGCTATGCAAATTCAAGCTGATTTGTTAGGCATTAATGTAGAAAGACCCTCAATGCGTGAAACAACCGCATTCGGTACAGCTATTGCCGCGGGTTTGGCTGTTGGAGTTTGGAAATCTGTTCATGAATTAGACGGTGTGAATGTAAAGGGAATCACCACATTTGTGCCAAACTTGATAGAAAGTGATAGAGAAGACAGATACAACGTATGGAAAAAGGCAGTAGAATCTTCGCTTCATTGGACAGATGATGTGGAGGATGACTTATAATACTTATTTTTTATTTTTATTATTCAATTATACATTCCTTTATCACTTTACTCTTTTCAATAATACATTTTCCTTCCTTATATCTCTGACTTTTTTCAGGAGCTGTTATATATTTCCAGCCAATCTTTGATTTACAGACATGGCATGATATGTCTGCAACTGTGTGAATACCCGTCATTAACATGCGTTCTTCATTGCCTCCTAAGGACATGTTAACCACCTTTTCGACCAAATAAGCGGGTCCGTGCTATATCATGCGTTTAGATCACAAGTATTGTTTCTCTTTTATACTTTTCTTACTCTTCCCTGAAACGCTCTCGATACAATGTCATGTTGACTTATAAGCTGTGAATGACATGTTGTGCACGAAAAAAATACGTTACATTGATCCAAATAATTTGGGTGTCGTTTCACCATGTAAGCTACTGAAAAAGAGGTAATTTAAAGAAAAGATATTTAATTGATCCAGCAGAGGAATTTATTCGAAAATAGGAATGCTCCTTATCACATTATCATTATAAATGATAGAAAAAGTGCATAAATTACAGTTTCCTCTATTTATGGTTATTCCCATCATGACTGTTTTAGCAGTCTCAAGAGTTCACGAGTTTTCCATTAGTTACACTAAAATTTAAATGCCCAAGATCAATGTTAGTAGGCTAGAATCCAAGGTCGCTTTTGTTGTCAATCAAGTTTATATGAATAAAAATAGCGTGGGTGATATCAGTTGTTGTCTATCAATGAAAAAAGTATCGTTTTACAGAGAATGGTATAAAGAATTTTTGTCCCAAAAATACATTCCTTTGCAAAGCCAGTTAGATATTGCAGCCTTTCACACGGGATACTTGATAAAAATAACGGCTCTCTCATATCGCTTTAATCATAGTTTTTTGAAGTGTGATTTTGACTCCTATATGTTTGCATTATTTTCTTTGTAAACAGGCTGAATTTATCGTGATTAGCAATGATATTCACCTTTACGCTTCATCCGGACGAGTATTTTTGTCATACAATTAAAAGTATAATTACGTGAGTGCTGCACTTTGCGTCCCGAGTGTTGTTTCATTGGATAGCAACAAATGCTGATATGCGCTACGAAAAGACGCCAACTATTGAAAGAGAGGGATACACTAGGAAATGAGGTAGCTGGGGATTAAATTGTCATAAATCAAAGACATGCATATAAATCATAAGTTATAACGCTGGAGCATTTAACTTTGGAGTTAAATGCCTGATATAATGCAAATAATCAGTTTAATCATATAAAAGATTCCCCAATTTAAAGGGCAAATTACTCACAACAATTATTGTTAATAGACATTACTTGCTTGTGAACAGAAAAAGAATTGAGGATGACTTTCGTCCTTTTTGTTTTTATTTTCTGGGAAAACGGAAGACATAGCTTTAGAACACTTTGAGTTAATTAAGTTTTTGTGTGACAATTCTGGAAGTTTTAAAAAAAAGGGGGGGGTCAGGTACGCTGGGACTAAATAAACTAAAATCCGAAACTTCCAATAAGCGATTCCATAGTAAAAATGTATGCCATCACGGCAAATGATATCATAAAATACCGGCAAAAATTTACATATCTTATTCAAGTTATCTTTGTCGTCTTTCTTCCTATTTTTTGTTACTGTATTAAATAAAAATTATATAATGATACTATTTATCATGATACTATTATTCATCGGGTTCCTTTCTCTCTTTGGCATTAATGCCCTTGATCCCGAAGCTAACTTTTTCATTTATAAATAGCGTATTTTTGTACCACTATCAATCAAAATAATCATGCATTCGCTAATATCTAGAATCGCCGTATAGTATGGTTTCGCCATATTATACAGCAGATACAACTATTAGTGTAGCTCGTGCCACTCTTATCCTAGATTTTTAAACATTTGCTTCCCTCTTACATATTTGCGATTTTATCTCTTGTGACCGAATGACAAATACTTGTCGTGACACTCAAGCTGCATTCAGTTGAAACGAATTTTCAAACCATTATTGTTTCTTTAGACGTAAATCCGTCAAAATTTCTAATTGATACGTCCGTAAAAGGTATATATTACACAAAAAAGAAAAACAGAAGACTCCAAAAAACAACAAATAATTACAGTCGCGTGCCTTTAACGTTTTCATGAATTGTTTCTCCCCTCCAACAGTCCTTTATCAACAATTTGCTATACTATTGGATGATTGGATTCTGCTCCTACTTTTTTATTATCTATACTTTTATATCTCTTTTGCTAAGGGACTCCACCAATTGCTGATTTTTAGGGAGTGGAGATCTCTTTTTCTTGCACTTATCCACTAAATATCGATTTAAGGGGGTCTTCGAGGTTAAAGGGGTGTAAGAGAGTTGATTCTCCGTTGAAAATCTGCTTATATAAATCACTTCTTTGTTTCTTTTGAAGACGTTTTCCTCTTTTTCATTTTATAGACGTTTATTTAAAATAAATCCTTGATATAATGGCTTGGGGGAATATAAGAATGCCAGATCGTGCACTGATATTTGGAGAAGAGAAAACTGCCAAAATGTATGCAGACAGAAAGAAAAAACGTGAGGAGGCGATGATTGATGACGAATTATTACTCGCAAAGCTCGGTTATAAACAAGACTTAAATCGTCAACTGTCGACATTTTCTAATTTTGCTATTTCTTTTGGCTGTTGCTCAGTTTTAAGTGGATTATTACCCGTAAGTAGATATGCAGATAATTGAACAATACTTAGAGTTACCTTATTGAAAAAGTAATCCAATTTAGTTATGGGGAACAACATTGCTAACCGGTGGCACTTCAGCTTCGATTTGGGGTTATATTATCGTGGCTATAATGACATTAACCATCGGATCAAGTTTAGCAGAAAGTAATGGGCGTAAATTTCTAATTCGATTTTTATTTGTTATTTATTTTTCGGTATAAGTTTGTAGTGCATTTCCTACGACTGGAGGTTTATATTTTTGGACAGCCCAATTGTCTGACTCACAGTGGGTGCCATTTATGTGTTGGATTGTTGGTTATTTTAACTGGTATTACTTTCTTTACTCTCCTTTATTTTTCCTTGACTCCTGACATGTTTTCATTAGGCTAAGTTTATCTGTAGCCATCTGTGCCAGTGATTTAGGCATGGCGGGTTTTTTGACCTCCGCAGTAACAGTAGTAAAACCAGAGTTTCAGACAACACCTGCAATTGATTACGGTGTATTTCTCGCTATCATACTCATTCACGGGTGGATGAATACACTTCCTGTAAAATATACCGGTATGATCAACAACTTATCCGTTTGGTGGCATTTGATGGGCATTCTGTTTATTGTGATTGTTGGCTTGATGTTGACTCCCAATAAAGCATCCGCATCATTTGTTTTCACTCAAACATATAATGGTTCTGGACTAAAAAGTGATGGTTATGCGTGGTTAATTGGATTGCTTCAGGCTCAATTTACTTTGAATGGATATGACACCGCTGCTCATGTCAGTGAGGAAACAAGGTCTGCCCAACGTGGCTCTCCAATGGGTATTATTATGGCTATTGGAACTTCGGCTGTTGCTGGTGTCATTCTTATGGTCACATGTGCATTCATGATCCAAGACTTCGAAGGCCAAGTTGTGAACGGGAAAAACCCAATGACCATTACACAAGTATTTTTGGATAGCACAGGCATTGGATGGACGATGTGGTTTCTTATTATTATTCTCGTGGCTATGTACTTTGCGTAAGTGATATATTGAAAACATAATGTGGTCTAGAAACTGAAGGTATTTATAGAGGTGGTGCCGTTACCGTTGGATCATCACGTCAAACATATGCATTTGCAAGAGATGGTGCTATGCCATTTTCGAAATGGCTTACAAAACTATCTGATAGCAAAGTTCCAGCAAATGCCGTTTGGTTTAATATCGCTTTCGCAATCATTCTTGGAATTCCCTATCTTTTCAGCGAAGTAGCGTTTGAAACAATTGTGTCAATCAATACAATTGCTGCCAATATTTCATATTTCATTCCAATTTGGTTGCGTATTACTATGGCAAGAAAGAGATTTCAAAGAGGCCCTTACAATATGGGAAAATTCTCAGTCCCCTGTGGTATAATTGCTTGCGCCTGGATTTTATTCACATCGGTGTTATTTATTTTACCAACGGTAAGTTCCACTGTAACTGTGCTTAATAATTTAGTTTATCTAATTTTACTTTTAATGATAGCAATATCCAATTACGGCTAATAATATGAATTTTGCTATAGCCCCTTTCGCTTTTGTGATTGGTTTAGCATCTCTCGTCTACGCCTTCTCTGGTCGCAATTGGTTTACGGGACCTGTGCGTAACATTGACACTGTAGTAGTCCGGGAAGAGGACGGAAAAGTGATACAGGAAACCCGTCGTGTTGTTTTGTTGAGTGAAAATGATGTGGTTGATCAGCATGAGATCGGCGGCCAGGACACCTGGATAAGCTCTAGCCCATCAACACCGGAGCCAAAGTCCATCCGTCATTAAACTTAAAGTCTCAATCTCTACTTCTTATAATGTATATTAAAAAAAAGTCCCCCATTTTTTCTCGCTATCTATTTTAAAGCGTATACTATTTTGGTATAACTTTCAAAACACAATCATCTTACGTTTATTTTAACCTTCAAAAAATATATGTATTATTTAAAAGTTTGTGAATTCGGCGATCCTTAAGAAATAGAATGAATTTGTGGGAAGGCTATAGTTATCTCTGTTTAGACTAACTTGGGGTGGATGTAAATATCACCACATTGTTCTAGCCACAACTGCCATATCATATTTGGGAAAATGAAATAAAATAAAAAAAACGAATGGAACTCTGCTAATAGTGGGAGAAAAATATGTTATCTAGACTACCCATAGCCGTATTATTTTCTTTCTTTGCTAGATCATTATATTAGCACTGTGAAACTTTTTATCGGTCCAATTTTTTAAAAAAAAATGAAAAAGTTAGACCGGCGGTAACGGTCCAAAAATTGGACCGATTTTATAAAAAATCGGTCGCATTTTTGGACAGATTTTGTAAGAAATCGGTCGCATTTTTGGACCGATACTGATGATTACAAGCGATGGTTTTGGCAAATAATTCTATTGGATAATAATACAGTTTACGTATTCAGTTCACGAGTTGCTACCCTTGTAAACCCAAAAATTTAGACATCATATATTGAATAAAAAAAAAGACAATTTATTGAAAAAAAAAGAAAAAGAAAAAAAGAGCCACAAATGTTTGAATAAATAAACGCACAGATTGGTTTTACAGATGAAAGACGAAACTAACCCGCCCATACCAACTTATTGAGCTAGTAGTTACAACTGTTATAGACAAACGCGTCTGGGAGGTACTTACCTATAATAAGAACTAACGTTAATAACGAGTATAAAAAAGATAAAAAAACACATCATACCTTAATAAAGAAACAGGTCGTCCGGGTCTAAATTACAAGCAGTGAACGTACAGTAAATCTATAGACATATATTGATATTAATAACAGGAATGAAGGTGACTATAGCGATAAATCTTACCTCGAAAAGAATGTAGTTCATCTACCATGAACGCAAACACAATATTTATTATTCATAAACTACATCAAACAGAGTTACATAACTGTAAAAGGTTAATTTTATGTTAAATTATGGTATCAATTATTATACATACTATTTCATGGTCATTTGACAAAAAGAAAACAGAAAAAAGGAAAATAAGAAAGAAAAAAAATATTAGATTTATAAATAATGATTTTTTAAACTCAATAGATATTACGTACACGAACGGTACACACAAACATAGAGTACTCTTCCAGTGCGTTTGATAGATACTTTCAATGACCCTTTGACCACTCTTTTGTTTCCTATAACTTGTCTCTTTACAAGATGGAAAAATTGGGGAAACTAGAAAGAAAATTCTAAGAAGGAGGGTGATTTCAATAAAAAGTGTTGCGGCTATTTATTGAGTGGCAAAAATTTGGACATAAAGCACATGGCTTTTAATACTATAAACATTTTATTTGTGACAAAAAAAATGTCAAGACTTTGTCATAGAGACATTGAAAAAGTGAATATGTTTTGATAGTTATTCGTCCGTTAAAACCAGCGAAGTGAAAAAAAAAAAAAAAAAAAAAAAAAAAAAGCGTAAGTCAATTGAAAGCACGATACAAAAAAAGCCTAATCGTGTAACACCAAACGCGTAAAGAACAAGATACACTTTTTGACCCCCTGTTGCGGTCACCGTATTAACTTAATAAATTTTCTTTTAATCATATAAGTTATATAGGTATCGTAATATATGTTTATTAAACTACAAAACTCGATTTTGCAGTGATTTTCATTTTTTTTAAAAATCGGTATCGGTGCAATCTTCAAAAAAGACCGCCGGTATCTGTAATTTCTAAAAATTGCACCGATACCGGCGGTATCGGTCCAAAATATGTTTAGACCGGTAAAAAGTTTCAGGGTGTAGGGTTGGCGATTCCGTTTCGATGAGTAGGGGTTCCGGACCTATATATTTGGAGCTTGTAATTTAAATGTTATTTTCGTAGAGTGACCAAAGTTTTAGCTCCTTCTTCCAGAAAACACTATTAAACAAGGCCATCTTCTTGTTTTATTAATTTAATATAGTCTGTTACCTTTCTTCCAGAAGAGCTCAATTCATTGCGGAAGAAAATTACTTCTATCATTGGACATTACAATATGCCTCTCTCCAGTAAGAGCAGATACTTTGTCTATTTCAGAGAATATGGCTCAATAGTATGACTTAGTTTCTTTTTTAAAATATGATCGTGATCGATTATGACAAAAATCAGAATGACATAATACCTGCAATGTGAGAAAAAACACTTTGACCTTGATAAATGTCTACACATAAACAAAAGAATAATCATCTATGCTACATTTGAGAACAGTCGGTACACACCAAAGCGGAATAAGATAGATATAGGTAATTATTGCTCATTTGACAATAACAATAGCATTTAATTTTGATATTAACCGCAGAATTAATTTCCCACCTTCTTCACACAGATCTACAATTTATGGTGAATTAAATATCCCCTGGCCCTGAAGGAGAGGGAAATTACATCTTCACTATACCAGATTATTACAGTCTGTTTTATAAACAGTCTGTATTCCATAGTTTCTACCTCTTCGCTACTACATAATACGTCTCAAAGAAAAAGAGAGACACGATAGTAGTATTAATAAAAGAAGGAAACTGTCAGTACTGAATTCCCATATTCAAAAATCGCAGGTTGAAATAGCTCCAAAACTATTGTAGCAAATTACTTGTGCCAAAGAAACAGTAACAATGTCCAGAGTTTCTTTGACTGATGTTGCAGTAGGTAGAGTTATTTCGGTGAGACAGGCATCATTATAAATGAAAAAACTATTTTAACGTAATTTATATCCGTTTTTTACCCACTTTCTAGCCTATTTACGACTTCTAAATTTTCTCGCGGTTTTTTTTTACCAGTGATGACGAGTAGTTATTTCGATTGTCGAGTTGTATTCAGTTGATTTAAATACTTAAAATTTTGAAGACAAGAAATAAAAACAGTTTTATATTTCGTTTAGATCTGTAAGTAAGCTTATGGGAGAATTACACTGTAAAATAGCAGATACTAAACATACTAATAGCTTATTGAAGGTAGCTTAAATCCTTTGTATCATGTCTTCATAATTTTATTGTAGCACAATTGAGGATGTAAAAGCATTGTAACTTGAATTCTTATTTAGTGGCGTGCTAACATGGTTGACATAGTTTGTCTCTCCCTTTCCAGTATCCCTTTTATCAACAATATCCTTTAACTGTGGATGATGCGGCTCTGTTTCTCCCTTTTTTTATTATCTATACTTTTATATCTCTTTTACTAAGGGACTTCACCAACTGCCGATTTTTAGGGAGTGAGGATCTTTCTATCTTGTACTTGACCATTACATATTGAATCCAAGGGGGTCTTTGTGGGTAAAAGGGGTGTAAGAGAGTTGATTCTCCGTTGTATATCTGCTTCTATAAATTTCTTCTTTGCTTTTTTTTAATTAAAGAAGTTTTTGTTTCGTTTTTTCAATTTATACACAACAGATCATTGATATAATGGCTTGGGGAAATATAAAAATGCCAGACCGTGCTTTGATATTTGGAGAAGAGAAAACTGCCAAAATGTATGCAGACAGAAAGAAAAAACGTGAGGAGGCGATGATTGATGACGAATTATTACTCGCAAAGCTCGGTTATAAACAAGACTTAAACCGTCAACTGTCGACATTTTCTAATTTTGCTATTTCTTCTGGTTGTTGTTCAGTTTTAAGTGGATTACTACCCGTAAGTAGAAATGCAATGTTTAAAGTCACTTTAATAATAAAAAAAGTAATCTGTTTTAGTTATGGGGAAAAACATTGCTAACCGGTGGCACTTCAGCTTCGATTTGGGGTTATATTATCGTGGCTATAATGACATTAACCATCGGATCAAGTTTAGCAGAAAGTAATGAGCGTAAATTTTTAATTCGATTTTTAATTGTTATTTATTTTTTGGTATAAGTTTGCAGTGCATTTCCTACGACTGGAGGTTTATATTTTTGGACAGCCCAATTGTCTGACTCACAGTGGGTGCCATTTATGTGTTGGATTGTTGGTTATTTTAACTGGTAATACCTTCTTTACTCTCCTTTATTTTTCCCTGACTCCTGACATGTCTTCTTTAGGCTAAGTTTATCTGTAGCCATTTGTGCCGGTGATTTAGGCATGGCAGGCTTTTTGACTTCTGCAATAACAGTAGTAAAACCAGAGTTTCAAACAACACCTGCGATCGATTTCGGCGTATTTCTCGTTATCATACTCGTTCACGGGTGGATGAATACACTTCCTGTAAAATATACCGGTATGATCAACAACTTATCCGTTTGGTGGCATTTGATGGGTATTCTGTTTATTGTGATTGTTGGCTTGATGTTGACTCCCAATAAAGCATCCGCATCATTTGTTTTCACTCAAACATATAATGGTTCTGGACTAAAAAGTGATGGTTATGCGTGGTTAATTGGATTGCTTCAGGCTCAATTTACTTTGAATGGATATGACACTGCTGCTCATGTCAGTGAGGAAACAAGGTCTGCCCAACGTAGCTCTCCAATGGGTATTATTATGGCTATTGGAACTTCGGCTGTTGCTGGTGTCATTCTTATGGTCGCATGTGCATTCATGATCCAAGACTTTGAAGGCCAAGTTGTGAATGGAAAAATCCCAATGGCGATCACGCAAGTATTTTTGGATAGTACAGGCATTGGGTGGACGATGTGGTTTCTTATTATTATTCTCGTGGCTATGTACTTTGCGTAAGTGATATATTGAAAACATAATGTGGTTTAGAAACTGAAGGTATGTATAGAGGCGGAGCCGTTACCGTTGGATCATCACGTCAAACATATGCATTTGCAAGAGATGGTGCTATGCCATTTTCGAAATGGCTTACAAAACTATCTGATAGCAAAGTTCCAACAAATGCTGTTTGGTTCAATATTGCATTTGCAATCATTCTTGGAATTCCCTATCTTTTCAGCGAAGTAGCGTTTGAAACAATTGTGTCGATTAATACAATTGCTGCCAACATTTCATATTTCATTCCAATTTGGTTGCGTATTACTATGGCAAGAAAGAGATTTCAAAGAGGCCCTTACAATATGGGAAAATTCTCAGTTCCCTGTGGTATAATTGCTTGCGCCTGGATTTTATTCACATCAGTGTTATTTATTTTACCAACGGTAAGTTCCGCTTTAACTAGGGTCGATAATATGTTTTTTTAATCTCACTTTTAATGATAGCAATATCCAATTACGGCTAATAATATGAATTTTGCTATAGCCCCTTTCGCTTTTGTGATTGGTTTAGCATCTCTCGTCTACGCCTTCTCTGGTCGCAATTGGTTTACGGGACCTGTGCGTAACATTGACACTGTAGTAGTCCGGGAAGAGGACGGAAAAGTGATACAGGAAACCCGTCGTATCGTTTTGTTGAGTGAAAATGATGTGGTTGATCGACATGAGATCGGTGACCAGGACACTTTGATAAGCTCTAGCCCATCAACACCAGAACCAAAATTCATCCGTCATTAAACTTAAAGTCTCAATCTCTAATTCTTATAATGTATATTAAAAAAAAACCAGTTTTTTCTCGCTTTCTACTTTTCAGCATTCCTCTTTTTCAGCTATAATTTTTTTTGGGAAGAACAAAAAGAAGAAGAAGAAGGCTACATTTGTTGTCATGGAATCATCTTCAGTTGTTATTTATAGAAGTCTATTTTCCCCACATTTTCCCCCATTATTACGCTGTTACACCTACGGCTTAACCTTTTGGCAAGCTTTTTTTATTTTGTGTTACCGACCTATCAACAGAAACCTTTCTATTGATGACCTTAGAATTTTTTCCGATTCCTCATCATTTAGCCGTTGCATGTGTTTTATTAGATAATCCTCCCCCCACAAAAAGAAAACAAAGAAAGAAAAATGCCACATCCAATAAAAATTAATCGTTCCTGTTACATGTTCCATCAATGCGGGATATTTTCTGAGCTGAATGCATGTAACAAAGTTTTGTCCACTTTTTGTTTAATTGGATCTAGTTTACCCCACCTTTTAGCTGACTTTTAAAAGTATACGACAATAATCACTGGGATTTATGGGCTATAGTTGCCAAATATTCATTTAGCAATATATGCACATGTAGAAAAGCTGCAATAGCTTTTTGTCTCAAAAAGCAAATACCCATGCCAAAAAAAAAAGCAAAAAATAAACAAATATGCCATTGTGGATATTTAAATACCCCACTTTTTACCAGGAGAGTGATGGGATTGTAATTATCCGGTCGCAGTTAACACTCCGACGGTGTTGACATAATTTATATAAAGCAAAAGAAAAAAGTGTTTCTTATTCTCTTTCTTTGTGTTTTCATATATTACATTAAATAAATTATCATGTATACCGCAAGTGCTGCATTAAAGGCCAGAGTTCGTCGTCCTCAACTCTTGGACAGAGTTATGAAGCCTGAAGATACCCTTAAGTTTTTCAAAGGTGGACAGTAAGTTAACCTCATTTTTTTTTTTTTTTTTTTTTTTTTTTACATTCTTTGTTACCCATTGCTGATGTGTTTTATTAGATATTTGGGTTGGTCTGGATTCACTGGTGTCGGATACCCTAAAATGATTCCCCTTGCTTTAGCTGATCACGTCGAAAAGAACGATCTTCAAGGTAAAATGAAGTTCAATCTTTTTGTTGGTGCCTCCTCTGGCGCTGAGTGCGAAGATCGTTGGGCTGAGCTTGACATGATTGACCGTCGTTATCCTCATCAAGTCGGTAAGAACATCAAGAAGGGTATTAACGAAGGCCGTATTCGTTTCGCCGATAAGCATCTTTCCATGTTTCCTCAAGATTTAGTTTATGGTAAGTCGTACAAATACATCTGGGGGGTATTTGAATTTTTCATCTAATTCAAAACGTTTAGGTTATTACACCAAGGATAAGCCCGACAACAACAAGCTTGATATCGTTATTGTTGAAGCTACCGCTATTACTGAAGATGGTGGTATTGTTCCCGGTGCCTCTGTTGGTGCCACCCCCGAATTAATTCAAATGGCTGACAAGATCATTATTGAAGTCAACACTCGTATTCCCTCTTTCGAGGGTCTTCACGATATCAACATGTGTACTCTCCCTCCTCACCGTAAGCCTTATTTGATCATGAACACAGAGGATAGAATCGGAACAGTAAGTTAAAATTTAATCGTGTGTTCACCAATGTCATATTTATCATAAACTTTTTTTAGACTTCTATCCCTATTGATACCGATAAAATTATTGCTATTGTCGAAAGTAACCGTCCTGATAAGACTGGTGGTAACACACCCGCTGATGCCAAGTCTGAAGCCATTGCCGATCATCTTATTGAATTCTTCGAAGAAGAAGTCAAATATGGCCGTCTTCCCGCCAATTTATTGCCTCTCCAATCAGGTATTGGTAACATTGCCAATGCCGTCATTGGTGGTTTAGCCAAGTCACGTTTCCAGAATGTTACAGTGTAAGTTTAAAAAACCGGGAAAACCAGGAAAATTATAGCCAACAGGGTTATTGACGCTATTTTTAATCATTAGATTCACTGAAGTGTTACAAGATACTTTCCTCGAGTACTTTGACTCCGAAAAGCTCAAGTTTGCTAGTGCCACATCTATCCGTTTCTCTCCTGAAGGTTTCGATCAATTTTATGACAACTGGGAAAAGTACAAGGATAGACTTTTGTTGAGATCTCAACAAGTTTCCAACTCCCCTGAAGTCATCCGTCGTCTCGGTTGTATTGCCATGAACACACCTGTTGAATTCGATATTTACGGTCATGCTAACTCCACCTTGGTTTGTGGTTCCGGTATGTTGAACGGTCTTGGTGGTTCTGGTGATTTCTTGCGTAACTCTAAGTTGAGTGTTATGCACACACCTTCCTCTCGTCCTTCCAAGAAGGATGCCAACGGTGTCTCTTGTGTTGTCCCCATGTGTTCTCACGTCGATCAAACTGAACATGATCTCGATATCTTTGTTACTGAACAAGGTTTAGCAGATCTCCGTGGTTTGTCTCCTCGCGAGCGTGCCCAAGTTGTCATTGACAAGTGTGCCCATCCTGAATACAAGCCTCAACTCCAAGATTATCTTGACATGGCTACCAAGAAGTGTCTTGCTGCCGGTAGAGGTCATGAACCTCAAATGCTCGATAAGGTCTTCAAGATGCACACCAACTTGTTGGAAAACGGTACCATGAAGCTCGAATCTTGGTAAAATTTTAGATTTTTCTTTCGTACAAAAAGCTTATATACATTTGATTTCCTCTTACGCACATCCTTTTTAACCCTGTTGTTTCAAAACGAAACTTCCTTATTACCTTGTATTATATTATTTTAATAAAAAAAAAAAAAATTAAACAAAACTTCTTTATTCTATTATCATATGCTGAAAACTAAATCGTATGCAGCATCTATGACATACGATTACATATCTGTGAATAGTTACATCGTGTTATGACATGACTTTTATTGACAGGGTTTGCAAAGTTCCCAGGCAATCTTACCCACGAAATCCCGACCAATCATGTAATAATTGAAACCCCTCCATTTTTCTCCAAAATTACCTTTTTAAGCGATACGTTTCATACACCTCTTGGATCCTCTAGTAGCATTAAATTTATCACTCCCTTGCGGTTTCCCTACAAAATGAAAAATTATCACTCCCCTCCCCCCTGGACTCAGTGTTTATGAAACCTAAGAATTTCATTGCTCGCTACGAGTAAGTTATTTTCATAGCAATCAACATAATTTGCTGATATAGTCTGTGATTGCTGCAGACCGCATTATCAGAAACAAAAACCTATGCCCTGTAAGAAGCTCACTTAAATTGAGTTTTACCTCTCGCAATACTGCTAGAAGATGCATTTTTATCACCTTCTCGACTTTTTCAAAGTGGTAACTTCATTCTGAAAATTGAGACGTTCAGTTACATCAAATTCTTTGTCAGATCAATCAAGGCATACTGACGACACAGAGATGAAAAGCAAGCGAGCTTGGCTTGCCATAACTAAATCTTATTACCAAAGTTTTTTTTTTCTGCTGAGCAGAACTACGCGGCATTGCCTTTTTGGATCAAGCAATTATTTTTATTAATTCCATGGTTAATTGTCTGTATTTTGCATGTAATTAAAAGGGCTGAACATATTGATTCAAAACTTGTGTACTCAAAACTAAGCTTGCAAAAAAATAAAAAGTCTTGTTTATTATTGTTTCAAATGCAAGTTATACTTGATGCACTGCCCAAAAAAAAAGCATCCTTTGTGTAATGTAAAAACCAAGATGAGCTAAAGTCATAACAACGTTACTATAAAAGTCAAAACCTGGTGTACCCAGAGGTTGTGCTTTTTTTTTGTTTTTTTACAATTCTTTTCCTTTCTTTTCTTTTATTCTTTTTTTCTTCGCCACGAATAATAAAATCAAATGTCACATCCGATAGCGAGTAATATGGAATATATTCAGCACCGAAAGGAAAGCGGGGGCTACGAGGAAGATGACGAAGACAGTAACATATCCGATAGACCATTGGATCCAAATAAATGGCACGCCATGCTGCGACGAATGTCTATCAATATCCAACGAGATGAAGGAACGCCTGATGACCAAATTATTTCAGGAAAAAACGCAGTCTATCCGACGGATCACGAGAGAGCATTGATGTTGAATATACCTCATTACAGCAGCAGCAGTGAAGATTTAGTAGGTGAAACAAACGCGGATGATACTTTGCCGACCGTTGAAGAGATCATTACTGATTACATCGACTGCTCCAACCATGCTTTGCATCAACAACAACAACCAAGCTATTTCGAAAATCCGTTTGATACAGACACTGCCTCGACAGACGATACTTTATTTGTGAAGCTACCTCCCCCAGCGATCGATAAAAAAATTGTGCATCCTTTAGCTAAGGTGTCATCTGAAAAAAAGCATCATCATCATCACCACCACCATCATCATCATTCTTTACATCATTCTGCCGCCACACCATTGCGGAATGACTCGACACAAGGTACAATAGAAAATCTAATAATCTTTTGTTTTGTATTAATATAAATACAGCTGTCAATAATAAAGCTAAATTGCAATGGGCAAAGACATTCGAAAAAATTAAAGTTGTTAATACCATTAATCAACTACAGCAAAATAGCCAACGAAAAAACAGTGTAGCGCCTCATACAATTACTAGACAGCCATTAGCTCCGTACTATCCCGCTGCCTTTACGCCGGGATATCTCTCATTATTGTGTAGGGATGAGCACGGAAGAAAAGCAGTAGGTTTTATTCTTTTATTTGTTTGATTTCAACTAATTATTTTATCAATAATAGCCACCCATTTTATTTGATGCGCTATCCGTAATACTAAAATCTTACTAATTACCTCGTATTCAACACTAACAGAACCATGTAGGTTGCAATTACAGATTCCGAAATCGACCTTACATCTATTCATCGTCTATGGACATTTCGTATTGAACTCCAATACGGTGAGATCAAATGGGTCATTAACCGAACAATCATTGAATTTTACAACCTTCATCTCACTTTAAAATTCAAGTATTTCTCCGGATTCATATCTGACCAACCGCCTTCTTTTCCTAGTCAACTCTCGCATCTTACAAACGCAGCCTTGACATCCATGCGTATCTCTCGTGAGGAAGAAACAAGTAATGTAGGCGATGTGGCCCTGAAGCGACGAGACGCACTTGAAACGTACCTCAAGGAGCTTATTCAACGTGCCAGTATGATTGTCAATTACGAACTATGTGAATTTTTGGAACTCAGTGCGATTTCCATTGTAAAAGATATGGGCTGGAAGGGAAAGGAGGGCTATTTGGAATACAATACGAAACCGGCTTCGATTCGCTCATCTTTTGGTTGGCATCGATGGCAGAAGGAATGGATCATATTGCGTGACTCTTACATTGCATTTTGTAAAGACATTGGGTCCACAGGACCTGCTGATGTACTCTTATTTGATAAAAATTTTAAAGTGGCAAGAACTCAAAGCACATTTGGTTCTATTCATCAAACTCATTTTATTATCTCCAACTCGGCAAGAAGAATTGAAGTCAAAGCTCAAACCTCTAAGCATATTGAGGAATGGATCGAAAATTTAGAAAAGGTTCAAAAAGAAAGTCCATGGATTATGAATCATCGGTTTGGTTCGTACGCACCGATTCGAGAAAATGCAAAAGCAAAGTGGTTTGTCGATGGCCACGGTAAATTTTTTTTTTGTTATACATCAGGCATACAATCTCTACTCAACACAAGTTATATAGATTACTACGAGACGGTAGCGCAGGCACTCTTATCAGCAAAATCAGAAATATATATTGAGGATTGGTGGCTGGTAAAAAGATTACCACTGAAACAACTGTCTTTTTATTAATTTCTTGTTTTTTTCTAAAAATAGAGTCCACAATTGGTAGAAAGCTACACAAAAAAAGACAGAAGAATGCTTGTTTACTAAACCATTTTTTCTTTATAAATAGTATTTACGTAGACCACCCAAAGGCAATGAAGAGTACCGATTGGATAGGCTTTTGAAACGAAAAGCGAATGAGGGAGTGATGATCTACATCGTGATTTATAAAAACGTATCTGTTGCCTTGCCTTTGGATTCACAACACACGCGTGACTGGATGCATAATGTTCACCCAAACATTATTGTACAAAGACATGCCAATCTAACATCCTCTCCTTTTTGGGCTCATCATGAGGTAGGAGGAGAAAAAAAAAAGACAGAGAGGAAAACATGATAAAACAAATATTTGGTATTGATGTATTTACTAGAAAATTTTGGTGATAGATTACAGATTAGCTTTTGTAGGAGGACTTGATTTATGCTTCGGGTAAGTTAGAGTCGATGTAATACGCATATTTTCCTTACACGTGTATTATTTCTAGTCGTTACGATACCCAGAAACATGATTTAACAGATTATTCATCACCAGATGAAATCTTTCCAGGACAGGATTATTCAAACCCAAGAATCAAAGATTTCCACAAAGGTAGACAAAAAAAAAAAAAGGACATTTGTTTACCCTTATTCGTACCTCTAAATATTTACAAAGTGAGCCAATATGACATGGAACTCATTGATAAAAAAAGTGCGCCTAGAATGCCTTGGCACGATATTCATACTGCGATGGTAATGATATAAAACATCAAAGATAACGCCAATGATTGTTTAAAACGTTTACCCTCCCTCCCGTCCTTATTTAGACCGGACCTCCTGCAAGAGACATCGCACGTCATTTCATTCAACGGTGGAATTTCATTAAATCCAATCGATCAAAAGAACGGGCCGAAGTTCCCTTTCTGTTGCCAAAGGGTGAGTATGTGGCAGTTAGGGATGAATCTAAATTCAAGGGAACATGTCGTATCCAGGTTCTAAGAAGCAGTGCCGAATGGAGTCAAGGTATAGATAGAGAGGTAAAAGAGTTAATCTAGAGGGGAGAAATTGACATGCATTAATTAAAAAAAAACCCTTCTCCTCCTTGTACTATTTAGTACTCTATCTATAGTGCTTACATGGAATGTATTTTTAAAGCAAAACACTTTATTTATATCGAGAACCAATTTTTCAGTAAGTAAACTATGCTTTTAGTGCATTACGATATTAACACTTTTTACGATCACATGTAGTCACCACAACGAGTCCTCATGATAAACTAATCAAGAACAAAATTGGGCAGGCCATTGTTGAAAGAATTAAGCGAGCACACAAGGAAAAACAAAAGTTTAGAGTAATTGTGGTTATTCCCGTCGCACCAGGTTTTGAAGGCGATTTTATACAAGCCGATAGACGTTCCATGCCGCTCCGGTAAGAGAGAAAAAAAAACTGCCTGTACTTGCCATACTTCTTCTGACTTATAATTTTTTTTTTGAATAGATCAGTAGCGCAATATCAATACCGTTCGATATCTCGCGGTAAACACTCTGTTTTCGAACAACTAAAGAAAGCGAATATCCCCATCGCTGATTACATCGGGTTTTACAGCTTACGTAACTGGGGTAAAGTCAAGGTATCACCTACAAAAGAAAGTAATATTAGTTCAACCATCAAGGATAGCATTATTCAGTCACCCACTCTATTACCCCATCGACGCAACATTATCAATAAGCGTCGTGGTCTTAATAGAGTTCGAGCCAATAGCCAAAACAAATCAACAGAAGAATTCAATAACTTGTTGCAACAACAGCAACAGCAAGAGATACTCTTGGAGCAACAACAAAATGTTTACAATGATGGACGACTGGACTTCTTGACAGAACAAGTGTATATTCATTCAAAGCTAATGATTGTAGACGACCGAACTGTCATATGTGGATCAGGTTAGTTTCAAAGATCACATTGAAGGGAAAAATCATGTACTAATTTCTTGGAAAAAAAAAGCAAATCTAAACGACAGGTAGTATAGTGTAACAATGGGGGTAATCCCTTACTTAAACTTTTATCTAGATCTCAATTAGGAAACCGGGATTCCGAAATTGCTGTTGTGATTGAAGATACGGACTTGGTAGACTCTCGTATGAATGGACTACCAGTAAATATCTCATAGACCATATTTAAGCCCTACCCACACACATTCTCATCATCTTTTTTTTTTATAAAGTATAAGGCATCGCGGTACGCACTTACTTTACGCATGCAATTATTCAAGGAACATTTAGGATTATTAAATTGTGGCCACCATGATACGGAGAATGGCGATCACGAGGAAAACACCGGAGCCGATGGTTACAGAAACATGAAGCGTGAAGATGTGGTTGTGATGGATCCATTATATGATGAATTCTACAATGATATATGGAGCAAAACCGCCGAGAAAAATACGCTTATTTACCGAGATGTTTTCAGGTGTGTTCCAGACGATACAGGTATAAGGAGTAGAAACTAAATGGAAAGGAGGGGATGTGACACTAAAAAAAAATCTGATTTTTTAAAAAAAAAATAGTCCATTCGGTCGAACAGCATCGACAATTTGTACCTGATCCTGCTCGAGTTTTGCCTGGTCATGTTGCAGAGCCTTGGAAATTAACAAATGACCAAGTTCAGTCAAGGTTGAATGAGATCCGAGGTCATCTTGTTCAGTTTCCTACGGAATATTTAAAGAACATCAATATGACTGCTTCTGTTATGCAGGAAGCTGTGCCTCCTGTTGTCTTTACTTGAGTGTACCCTCCCTTACATGTAGCTTTCATTGTTCCTGAAACAAATAAAAAAAGTCTGCATTATGACCTTTTCATTAAACTGTTGCCTATTTTTGTAGATAAAGAAAACTGTGTAATCAGAAATAAAAATGACAAACATTGTACAAAGCAATGTGATACCAAACTTCATTGCAATGTTATTAAGTCACATTGCATTATTGTCATCCCGCCCATCCACTTTGTCATTCTATTTTGCAGCCTTGATTTTGTTTAGCAGGCCGTCAGTTATCATTCACCATGTTACCAGAAACCTCTTTCTTTATAAAGACAATCTTGACCGATTCGCCTCGTATCATAGCAACAAAAACACCCAGTTACCATACAAATATTCTTGTTTCTGGTCTAGTATAGGTATGCTGGTGACTAAGGAAAGCCACGATGATACTCACGCTCCCGGTTGAAAAAAAAAAAAAATGACATGAACTTAAAATAACTGTAATGATTACCACAATTGGCTGTTTTTATTAAAAGTCCTTTTGGGAGCAAGAGTGTAGAGAGGTATTTTTCAAAGCGGATAGGATCCCGTGAAACAGACAGCATTCACTTTCTTTCGTATGACATGGTGAAGAATATGTAATATTTGAGTAATTCTTCTCTAATGGATTTGAAAGGATATATACTACAAGAATGATATCAAGTTGCTGTTGCCAAACTGGGGGAAAACACATGGAGATACATCACTTTCTCTGTGTAAGATGGTATACGTCGATTATACGTCCAACCTTAATTTTTTTTTTTTTAGGAACCTTAAAAAAATATGTCAAAAGCATATAACAAGTAAGTGTCAAAAACTTAAGGAGGTCTTAAATCTGATTTCTTTGTTCTTTTGCTATTCAAACTTGATAGGTTTTTCGCTTGATTGTATGCCAAATGCTATGATTATGATGATGATACATGTTATTTTAACGAAAAGGTCTATCTATACATGCACTGGTTTGCTGTAAAAAAAAAAAAAAAAAATAAGATTTAAATTCGTGCAACAAGTATTGATTTATAATTATCAGGTTCCGCCCTTGATTCTGAATTGCATTGATATTTTAGCATGTTTTATCATGGATGTGCTTTTTATCAGATAAAGTAAAATAGTTTACAGCCACAAAAAGAAAGAAAAATAGACATTGACCCGATGATATACAATTAAATCACTTAATTTTGCTCTTGATACTATGAACTAGGAACGACGTAATAATGCAATACAAACAGAAAAAAAAAACGATGAGCCGTGATTCCGAAGAAAAAGATATGCCAAATATGTTTTCTAGTGGTCAGACCAACTCCGTTAGCATATTACTTGCCGGGGATTGTTTCACTGAAGTAATTGTGTACTGTGTTGGTACGAGCCTAGGCATACCCGGGTTTCAGGGGGGAGAGAGAGGGAGATGATTCTTGTGCTTGCTACACCAGCTTTTTTTCTTGGCTTTTTTAAACTTTCAGACAACCCCTTTTTTTCTACTTTCTTTATGTGTGTCTGTGGCTCTTTGATTATGATTTATCAGTGTAATCAAAAAGAAGAACACGGTGTTCCATCAATATCCAAAACGGGGTATGATTGGCTCGTACAGAGAGAGTAAGAGGGGGGAGAGTGTATTGTGTGTGACACTAAAAGCGGAGGATGGTTTTCTTTTTATAAATTGCTTTGTGCACTGATGAACCTCATTGCGCAAATTTTTTTCTTTGTTATGGATTTTTCTTTAACCGCTAAGCCAATGACATATAGTTTGGGTTATCTCGGATTGCATATTTTTTAAAGAAAAAAAAAAAAAGCTCTCGTTTCAAATAAAGCTTCTCTCTTTCTCTTACATTTCTAACAGAAAAAGTAGCTGGAATACCTTACTTCAACAGTACTCCCTCCATGCTATAACTGCATTCTTTTTCTGTTTAATCTCTCTCTCGTTTCTAATTAACCCCCCAAAAAAAAAAAAAGCTCATCATGATGAAACCTTTTGAATCTCTTTCGGATATCTACGCTGTGTATAGTCAACACCCACTTATTGCCAAATGGTTAGCTATTGCCCTTTGTGCTTCTCTCTTTTTAAACACTTATCTCTTGAACTCTTCTAAAGAACCTAAAGTGGTTATCCAAAAGGTCATTGAACGTGTGGAGGTACCTGCCAAGAAACACAAGGCCCCGAGAAAACATCATCATTCCGACATTGTGCGTACATTGGAAGAATCCTACAGTTTAATCAGTACACCCGAACTCTTGACCGATGAAGAAATCATCATGATTGTCCAGAGTGGTAAGATGGCTGCCTATGCGCTTGAAAAGGTACTTGGTGATTTCGAAAGAGCCGTTCATATTCGTCGTGCCTTGATCTCTCGTGGTTCTGTCACTCAGTCATTGGAAGGTAGTTTACTCCCTGTCAAGAATTACCATTATGATAAAGTCATGGGTGCTTGTTGTGAAAACGTGATTGGTTATATGCCCATCCCTGTGGGTGTTGCCGGGCCCATGAACATTGACAATGAACAAATTCATATTCCTATGGCTACCACCGAAGGTTGTCTAGTGGCTTCTACAGCCAGAGGTTGTAAAGCAATTAATGCCGGTGGCGGTGCTACCACCATTGTCATTGCCGATGGTATGACGCGTGGTCCCTGTGTTGAATTCCCCAATATTACTCGTGCTGCTGATTGTAAACGTTGGATCGAACAAGAAGGAGAAGCAATTGTGACGGGTGCATTCAACTCCACCTCTCGATTTGCCCGTGTACGTAAGTTAAAGGTAGCACTTGCTGGTAGACTTGTCTATATTCGTTTCTCCACCACCACAGGTGATGCTATGGGTATGAACATGATCTCCAAGGGATGTGAAAAGGCTTTAAGTAAGATTGCGGAACGCTATCCTGATATGCAAATCATTTCTCTCTCTGGTAACTATTGTACCGATAAAAAACCTGCTGCTATCAACTGGATTGAAGGTCGTGGTAAGTCGTGTGTTTCTGAAGCTGTGATTCCCGGTGCGATTGTTGAAAAGGTGCTCAAGACTACAGTGGCAGCACTTGTCGAATTGAACATTTCCAAAAACTTGATTGGCTCTGCTATGGCTGGTTCGGTGGGTGGGTTCAATGCACACGCTGCTAATATCTTGACTGCTATTTACTTGGCTACCGGTCAAGATCCTGCACAAAATGTCGAAAGTTCCATGTGTATTACTTTGATGAAGGCAGTGAATGGAGGCAAGGATCTTCATATCTCTTGTACAATGCCTTGTATTGAAGTGGGTACCATTGGTGGTGGTACTATCTTACCCCCTCAACAAGCCATGTTGGATTTCATTGGTGTCCGTGGTCCTCATCCTACCGAACCTGGGGCAAACGCTCGTCGTCTTGCGCGTGTTATTTGTGCTTCCGTTATGGCTGGTGAACTTTCCCTTTGTGCCGCTTTGGCCGCAGGTCATTTAGTTCAAGCTCATATGGCTCATAATCGTAATGGTGCTGCCGCTGCCGCTGTCGCTCCCCCTGCTGCTGCTGCTGCTGCTCCCATTCAAGATTCAACCCCTCCTGCTACTCCCAAGGAAAATGGCTCTCCCATGATTGGAAGTTGTATTAAATCATAATTCTAGATTCTCTCTCTTTTTCTCTTCTTTTTGCATTTCTTTTTTATACATTCTAATTTTGCTTCCCTTTCTTTTAAAACGACCCTTTTTCTTTTAATCACGCACATATTTATTAATAATTTAACAATAATAACAATAATAATAATAAACCCTTTTTTTTTGGTTTTTAAAAAAAAAGAATTTACCAAGTAGCTTGGTTATTATGACTATTACGGTGTTCGAATAACCAATCTAAATCAGCTTGAGAATCGGTATGTGTAGTGGTACCACTTTCAGTTGTAGTAGATGTAGTGGAAATTTGTGCAATGGTCTCAGAAACTAACTCGATAAAAGTATTCCATTGTTCGGGGGTAGTTAAGGTGGAAGTGATAGAAGACAATTGTGTGATTTGACTAGCTACTTGAGGATAATCAGTGGATAATTGTGTGGCAAAAGTGTTCCATTTCGTTTGAATTTGGTCTACAGGAGTTTGGCTGGCAGCTAAATCTTGCTTGAGCGTATCAATCTCTGCAGCAATTTCTTCATTTGCGTTCGTAGTCGTGGTGGTGGTGGTGGCGGCGGCGGCAGTAGCGACGGGGGCAGTGGCAGAGGAGTCAGAAACAGGCAACTCATTTAAATCAGAAAGGACACTATCCATATTTGTGTTCTGATGCGTGCTTTTAGTCTTATTGTTGGTGCTACCAAAGTTATTGTCTCTTGTATAATCACCAGAAACTACACGAAGACAACCATAACCCGATCTTCCAGTGTTACAGTCAACCTATAAACGGCAGGGGGCAAAATAAATGATTTATATTTAGAAACAATGAAAATCTATTATTGCCTTCTTTTTTTTTTTTTTACCTTATCTTGGCAGCATCTAATACAGAATCTTTCAATATCAGGTTCGATCAAACTGACAAAGTAGTTGTAGCCCTTACACATGGCGGCAACAGGTTTACCCTTGCCATGGTTATCGTATTGTCCTCCTCCATCAGATTCTCCTAAGCTGTATTTGCTACGGTCAAAGAAACCAGTAACCTGAACATATTTACTGGATTTTAAATAATGTGCTGTAGTAATAAAGCCTAAACAAAAAAAAAAAAAAAGATGTCAGATACAAATATAAACAAATAGATCGCTATGTTTGTCAAGCATTTACCAGAAGGAAATTCACTTGCTTTAGACACTAAATCTTTTTTGGTACAGAATGCAACACCGTTATTTTCATTGACGGCTACAACGAGTCCCGGCTTAGGAGGAAGGAAAAGACAAAAGTCATCTTGACTGTTGACAACGGTTAATGGCGAAGTCACGGCAGCATTCACCCATGAAGAGGCAATCACAAAAAGACTTGCGACAATGAGGTTATTCGACAAAAGCATGACTAGAAAAATAAAAAAAAAAGAGAGAGAGTGGATAGAGAAAAAGAAAGGGGGGAGGAGAGATTATGTAGAAAAAAAAGTTTATAGAAACTTATAAATAACCATTTCCAACTCCACTCTGCTTCCCTCCTTCCAGGTGGGTTACACAGTTGGATATTAAGCATATTCCTATGGTTTTAAAAAAAGAAAAAGGCCAAAATAAGGCAAATTGAACAAGCTCTATTTTATCACCCGCATTGTTATAAATAACACTTTTTAACATTAAAAGCGGAACAACATCAACAATCAAACAGCAGCAAAAAATATATCGTGTAACTTTTTCTGTTTGAGGGCTATTCGGAAGGTGAATCTCGTTCGTCCATAGTTTACCCAAATGCAAATATCGTACGTAGTTTACTCAGTTATTCTAAAAGTGCTCACTTCAAGATCTAGACTGTCTCAATGTAAATTATCCTTGATATGCTATCAATTCATATTTAAAAGAGCTTCATTTAACGAATACAAGTACGCCATAGGACCCAGAATGTAATAGCAGCAGTAGTATCATAGAGATGTAAAAGACACATTCACGAGTTTTCGTATATATTCAAGTAGAAACTTCTCTTTTGCCAATCATTTTTGCTATACAATTTTACCCACAGCAATACTTTTATAAAGTATGTTCATAGTACTGCGAAATAATGCTGGGTCATTGCAGATTTTAACGTCCCAAATACCTGTTATAGGTGATGTACTATTGGCTAAAATATTTAAGCAAAGATGGAACAAACAATAACCTCATCCTGAATTAAACTTGTTTATCATTTTTATTATATAAGCCGTTCCTTTCTCAGATACCTTCTATTTCTTTTTCTTCTTCAATATTATATTCAAAGTTAAACATCTTTATACGTCTAAACGTTTGCGCTTACAGTAGTCTATCTGTAGACTCTCGGGTTAAAAAATTCCCCCTTCCCATGTTTATGAGAGTGATTGGTGTTTATTTTAAGCTGCTTTTTGAAATTTATGTAAGACTGAAAGTACAGGTAAACTAATGGATGATGACAAACACTACTATTTTTCAGCAACCTTTGTCTTCATAAACAAATTGTGGTCTTTTAAAAATGGTGGTGTTCTCACGGCCAGGCTTGGCAGCGAGCCTTGGGTGATCTACTCAGGGTCCGAAGTCTTACCTTAAGCAAGGCGTCTACCACTGGGGCATCTTGGAAAGCTATATACCGGACCAATCTTTGATGGGAGGCAGAAGCTGAATCTTTTGATGGTCAACCTCCATGGACGCGACAAAAAACCCCGCTGGATGACTAGTTTTGGTCTGTCGACAGTGTTGTGAAATAGAAAAGGGAAAGGGCAAGTACTGTTGCGACTAAGTCGTCTCTAATTTTATTTAAAAAGAAGATAGAGATAATTCTACAAAACTATCAAGGGGTATTTATATATAATTTGAAAGGTATCAAGAGGAGGGTATTGACAGTGACCAGCACTGGTGATTCCATAACAAGCAAAACCTTGACAGTCATCACTTAATTGACGGTTCTACTAAATATGGGAAAAGAAGGCAGAAGGAAGAATGAAAGACCAAAGCCACGTAAACAGGTTTATGATTTACCAAACTTAGTTTACCGAGGTCAAGAAATAAATAAATATAAAGAAGTAAATAAACAATTATACAAACAATAGCACTCATTTTCATATACGTATGGCTCAGGTCCTATGAGACTCTTCGCTCGATACACGTTACACAGCATTGTTTTATTGATAGAGGTAAATTGTGGAACAACTAATTCCCACCAGTGTGATTATATGGAATCATGTCCTTATTGGATCATCTCCGATAGTTCTACTCTAGGTGTGTTATTATGTTATCCTCAACAGACAGGATGACCTTCCGTTTCCATTTCCATATCATCAGCATTCGTTTCACGTTGTGCTGCTAGCGAGTATAAATCTATCTACAGTACTTTTCAAGAAACCCAACTTGTATTCTATCAAGTATAGCAAACAACAAGAATTTTCCACACAAGAGTCTCTCCTATTAAACGGTATGAGGAGAGTCCATCAAGATACCTTCATCCCAGCGGGCACTTGTTTCAACTATTGGCCGTAGGGAAGCAGCTACATCACTGTGCCTCAGACGGTTCTTTCAAATATTCAACATCCGAGTTGCTCAGCATGGACCAGAACTGTACTAGATATCGCACACAGAAGGTGTCATTCGAGTATACCAGCAGATAAAATCCAAGTTAAATAACTTGAACGCAAAAAATCTAATATTTTAGTAAATGTAAAAGCTTTTCATTTTGTTTTCTTGGGCATACCACATGGAGCATCGATAGCATCTTTGGATCCATTAATTTTTAAGAACGAACCGACAAACTTTTCATTGAAGTGTACGCCTCCGCGGGGCAAAAGGGTGTAATCTCGAGGGTGTAATTTTTCGGTAAATTATTTCCCCGGAGGGTGTAAATGAAAAATGGTCACGGAAAAAATTGATTAATAAAGAACCATGAATTTGTTTGTTTTCTTTTCTCTAATTATCTTTTTACATTTTTCGATTAACTTTAAGTGTGCTTGAGATGGGGGATATTCCTATTAAAGGTGCAAAGACTCAAACGATTAAAAACTGCGGGGAACAGTTGTTTTAGTTAAAAAAGGGGATTTTTTTATTTTTAAATTTTTTTACAACATGCATACACAGTGTTTCTATAGTTACAAAGGATCTTAGGTGCATGGGCTTTATCGTCAGTAATAATTTGTATGTCATCTTTAAGATTATCAATGCGTACAAGATATTGCTTCTCTTCAATTATTTTGTAGCATACAGTCCAGAAATGCGACCCACTGTATGATGAAGAGTAAACCCTTCCTTGTATCTCATACTTGATACTTTCCGACATGGTAAGAGTATGAGGGAAGTAAATCCCATCTTCGTCTATCCCATGACCTCTTGCGTTTCCAATAAAAAGGAAGGCAGGGAAATCTACAAGGCTTACAGAATTTTGGGATGTTATGGTGCCAAGGCACCTTTCCCCACCTTCCATTAGTCTACACGCATGCTTCATCTCTCTGATGATGTGTACGTATTTGAACACGTTGCTGAACTCCTGGTCCAAATCGGCTTGACTAGCAAATGTTTTCTTTGCAGAAATCCAAGAACGCATCTCCAAACCTATTTCAAACAAAGGCGAGAACTCACAACTAGTATCTACAAAGCCGTGGTTTGGGTTCACAGAACAAATATGGGACCTCAATGTCAAACCTCTTGGAAAGTTTGACACCTTCTCTTGGAATTCTGGAGAAGATCTTGTCATCATCAGATTTAGAACCTCCAGGCAATCACTCCATTCACCCCGAGGGTACTGAAATCGAGTTCCTTTCGTCTTTGGAATGGACCAGATAAACTCTCTAGCCATCGACGAGGCCTCTCAAGTTAAGCAATGCTTAGTATCCAAAACGTCTGTGAACTGTGGTTCAATGTACTTCTGATAACTGCTGATAAGCGCCTGATAAAAAATGTTGTCCGACTCAACATCCAATCCAGAGAAGTCGATGGTGGGGAATACACAGTTCCAAAGAAGCTCAAACGTGGCATCGATGAAACAGGAGTTGTTTGTGTTGATGCTTATGTGGCTGTAAAACTTTAAATGCTGTCTTGTTCTGTTTGGTCTGGTACGGTCACCTTCATCGTACTTTCTTGTAAGCTCTTGGTACGTCTTGATGGTCAACAGCTGGTTTTTTTGAGCTGGTTTAACCAGAGTAGTTTTCTTCATTGCTGGTATGTCCTTTACAATTGCTTCAAGTTCTGAATTGCGGAGTTCACGGATTTTCCGTTGTGTTCTCATTGAAATAACGTCGCTTTCAGGAACATAACCTTCAGCATAAAGCTCTTCAAATAGCTTTACCGAATCTACGGATTCGACAGACTTTACGGACTCGTTGTCACTAATGTCATTCGCATCAAAATAATCATCTCCCCCGCAATATCTTGACTGGGATCATTAACAATGAACCCATTGAACACCTTCTCCTTCACTTCTTTTTCCATTGTTCCAGTGAAAATCATGTCTTCTAAATCAACTGTAGTTTCGTCAACTTGAATGTATTCATCAGTGTCAGCGATGTCGTAATCTGCAAGGAAGGACGCAATGTTTTTTTCCATTTCATCGTCGTGTTTGTTTTTAATTTTACTGTCCTTATCAACTCCAAATACATCGTAAAAGTTCGTTCCTTGATTAACAGAAGACGCCGTTTCAACAACCTTTCTTTTCTTGGAGACAGACGCTTGCGTACCGTAGATTGCATTCAAGGTATCCGGAGCTCTACTATCACTAAGTTCATAAAAGCTTTTGATCAATTTTTTTGAGGTGGTTGTTCGCTTTTTGGACCCATAGTTTGGCTTAACACCATCATTGTAATAGCCTAACATTTCATCGCCGTAGATGCATGATACCTTGATAATTTCACGCAAAGCTTGGCTTAAATGGGATTCTTTAGTGATGAACCTATACAAGTTTCGGTGGTACGATTCGATTCCATTCGATGTACGTGATTCGTGTCTACGAAGATCCTTTTTCATCAGTGATTTGGCATTGAAGATCATTGATGACACGCTCTTTTCAAGCCATCACTGAAGCCATGCTCTGCTGTCAGGGAACTTTTCAAGAATGAGATTTGCCGTCTCAAGGAACAAGTCATTGTTTGTCGTCTTTTGGAGTTTGTAAGTCATTGCAATAAACGTCTTGGCATTTTCAGGGGAAACAATTTTCTGCATTTTAACAATACGTTGGACTGATTGACTGCATCCAATGAAAGTAGCAACCTTTAATATGTCCAAGAGACTCATCCTCGTTCATACCAAAGTATTTTTGGCAGGAATTTTGGAAACCTTGGCGTTCTGCCAAAGAGAAATCCAATAATCATGCCGAGGAAAAACTTCTGCTGGATGGCGAATTTCTTAAATAAGGCCTCAAAATAAAAAGCAAATTGCTCGGCCGTTTGGTGCTTGATTATAGCTTGAAAAAATTATAACATGTTTTCTCATCTCTTCCACATAAACGACATATAACACCAGATAGAATCCGGTCGATACAGCTTTAAATGTAACGTCAGTAATGATAGAGTACTTATGAAAAGGTAAGGGAAGCAAACTCATTGCAGGATGAGAAAATGTGATGCAAAACTTAGAATTAACAATCTGAGCATGATCGATATGTCCTGCAAAGTCTTCCTCAATTTTAACAAAATCGGCCAAAAAGTCATTGTTGATTATGTCAGCAAAGCCTTGTCGATCTCTTGATTCTTTTAATTCTCTCTTTACACGGTGTTTGTTTCCGAGAATTGGATTGATTTTTCTAATGAACTCAGTGGCCTCACTGCTATTTTCGCCACCAAACACTGCGGCTGTTGGTGTGATCAGTGGATTTTGTTGAACAAAAGCATCGACTTTACATTTTTCGGTTGCTGAAAGATGCTTCGAGTTATAAATACCGTGAGTATGTTTTACTGTCTTGTCTTTGTTGCTAATATGTGTCATTGTACAGGCGCTTTCGTTGACTCTGAACATATACTCTACAGTTACTTTGCATTGAATCCAAGACATGACAGTTCCGCAATGTTGACAGTTGCTGTCCTTAATAGAGGCAATTTTGACAGGAGGTCGAGTAGCCTTTTGGTAAAAAGGGCAGCTACTTTTAGGGCACTTGATAGAACCTACGCAAGACTTAACGATAAGACGATCGTTTTTATGTTCTGTAGGATTCAAACATTCGGGACTCTTATTTTTGTTGGGTTTATAAGAATTCGCTTTCGTCAATGACCAACCAATGTCAAGGTCAAAATTCTCAAAGCTTTCGGTAGACTCGTTATAATGAGCATACCAAGTCTCTTCCAAAAACTCCTCGGGAAAATTTGCTTTAAACGTCGTTTTTAGTGATGTTGTTATCATAATTATAGTAATTAGTGAAAAAGGGGCAAGACAAAAAAAAAAATGAAATTTCGCGAATGGTTTTTCCGATATTACACCCTCCGGGGAAATAATTTACCGAAAAATTACACCCTCGAGATTATACCCTTTTGCCCCGCACCCGTTGGGGGGTTGGGGGTAGGCTTTCTTAATGATATGTCAATTACACCGTCAGTTGAAATTGCGCCTAAAATAGTGATTGAAATGCTGCGAGAGGTAGGTACAATAGCCTTGGCAGGCTTGCCTTTCTTTGACCAACCTCTGTTACGGGTGATATTTATGTTAAATCCTGCTTCGTCTATGAACACACAGTTTTTTTCAAAGTCCATATCCTCGTTAGCAATCCACTCCTCTACCGACTCTCGACGTTGAGTGATTACATCAATGTGGTTTCGTCTTGCAGGTATTTTCTCACGTCGTTTCATAGATAAAGCACATCTTTCTCTCATAAATCTATGCAATGCTGACTTACTCACCTGAATATTCTCATCCGAAAAATGATTTGTCAAATCTTCCAGAACTTGAGCAAATACAGCAGTAGGTCTTTCGTCGATGTACTTGATGATCCAGTCTATATGCCTGTCTTTTAATTTGAATCGGGATCCCTTAGGACCTCGTTTCTTTCTTTCAGGGATTCCCAATTCTGGGTCTTCTCTATACTTTTTTCTATAATTATAACCAGAGTGCAATCTGATACCAGTTGAATTACAGGCTGATTTCACATCGGATCCAGCAGCGATCAAGTCAATGAACATTCCTATCTGTTCATCTTTATACTTCATGTGGATTCTTTTCTTTTTATCCTCGTGCTTAAATTCGGGCTGGTTATAATGAAGGTCACAATAGTTCTTTACACGAGTATGTGCTTCTTCTAAAGTCTCATCAATGCGGGCACTCTCTTCGTCCGAACTTTTGTTGCTGTCTTCGTCATTACTATCAGGGAAAACCTCCAAATCGTCAGCAATATCATCATCTACTTCCATGGCACTTTCAGTAACACTAGATGCCGATCCAGCATTTTTTTGGTATAAGTGAACGTACAGCTCTTCAGTCTCGTCGTCACCTTCTACATCAAGATTAAGATCGCTCATAAAAACGTCAATGGACATGGTAAAAGTTTTTCGAAAAATTAAGGTTATGTTTTTGAAAAATTAAAAGAAGCTTTTTGAAAAAACAGTGAAAGGCCTTTTGAAAAATTACTGCGGACTTATTGAAAATACGGTGGGAAATCCAGTATCAAGAAAATTTATTATAAAAAAATGAAACCAACTAA